AGCTTCCGAGCACGAAGAGCCGTGGAGCTGCGAGGGCTTTTTTTTTGTTGTTATCTTGTAATGGTTTAAAATTCGCTAAGCTTCTAACGTTACACCGCTCCTCTGAATGCCATGTTGGGAGCCGGCGGGGGGTAAATGTAGGAAGGAGCGGAATGAGCCGGAGGGGGAAAAAACGACAACAAAACATGTAAATTGGTACACACAGAACCGATAACAGTGTGGGTGATTTATTGCAGTACAACACTTACATTTCTTTATGAAGAACAAACTTCTACTTGTACTGTACTCACTCTTATGTGTGTTCATAAAGTCACATGTGCACATATTCTTGTTTTTTAACTATTAACTTTTGGGTCAAAGCCTTCGACTTTTCCAGTGTTTCCTCTCGGTTACAGTGTCACGAGTGGAATGGAGAGTCGGATCTTAAAGGGTTTGAATAACTGGGACGAGGAGCCGGTGAGTCGGCGCCTGGATCTTCTGCAGATGTGCTCTATTGGGGCCGTGGCCACGGCCAGCAAACGAACACGGCGTATTGCCGACAGAGTTCGGCCTGAGATCATAAGAGACGAAGAGCAGAGGGAGAGAAATAAAAAGGGGCTAAATTGAATGTCTTCATTTCGCTTCTCACGTTCCAACAGAATCTCATCCTCTTTGTCCTTGAAGTTTGTTTTTTTTCCCCAAATGCTCCATTTTCCAACAGCAAGTCCCACATTTTGGCTGCTATTAGCAAATAGGCATGCTGTCTAGCATATGCCAAAATTGGGGCATATTTTCCTTGTAAATGAGCACGTTTGTGCAGCAGCAGGTAGGATTTTCCATTGTTGATGGCAGACGGCCATGCATATGCATGCAGGATTCATGCCAACTGTCTAGTTCCTACTGGCTGATTACATTTTTCCAGAAAATCAGGTTTGGACGATTCTGCAGGATCCGGACAACGTTGGATGCTTGCAGCTACAGTAAAATTATCGGAGTTACATAAACATGCAGATGTTGACTATAAGTGTGGGGTTTTGACATCTTTGCATTGGTGCCCTTGAACTTCTCCAACTTGTAGACTCTTGGATTCCCCATTATTACATACACAATAGTTCCTATGTTGGTATTAACATTGATTGGAAGTATACAGTCCAGTCTCGTCCTGTAGGCAGACTGGGCTGGATTGTCTGCATCACTTGCGTGTTGAATAAACAAAATACTTTGCACATATTCATGGGAGAAAATAAAAACCTGTGTAATTATAGTAAGAAAAACTCTCTGCTCTGCGTCTTTGCTAAAAGAATGATTTCAGCCGTCATCCGTGGGTGATTTTAAACGGCATGAAAGCCTCTCACTTCACATTAAAGGATTTCTACGGCAACCTGAAGGTTACAGGAACCATCCTCCAATTCTAAAATGTAATGGTGCAGAGCCGTCGCCTGCAAGAGCATTAAGGGTTTGAATGGGTAATATCGGCTCAAACCACGCGTGGAGGATAGTTGCAGCGATAATAGTCTTGACATGTGTAGCCCCCAATGTAGCCTCACGCTAACCCATCAACCTCACAGCGGCCATGCAATCAAATCAACAGACCTACAATGAGGTTAGAATACAGGCTATTGGCCACAGTTGCAGTGATACCAGACACCTTTGAATGTGAGCAGTACTGAATGGACAGAGTGAGGGAATTAAAAAGTGTGTGTGTGTGTGTGTGTGTGTGTGTGTGTGTGTGTGTGTGTGTGTGTGCGCTCATATAACGCACAAACACACACACGCAGTCCTCCCTAATTACTGTTGCACTCTCTGCTCCATCTCGCTCTGTCTTTTCGCTTTTTATTCCCTTCATTTATTCTTTGAAGTTTGAAATTAGAGTTGAAAGCGAGGTCAGTGTAATTATAACATTTTCACCAGAGCTTTATTATTTTTGAGAAATAGCAACAAACCAAATAGGGGATCATTAGCTGGAGAGGACGTGGGTCCTCAGTTGATGAATCCTGCGCCTCGGACTGCTGCTACGTTTCTACCTGTGGGACGCAATGTGTGTCGAGGTCTGAGAGAACATTGTCAGTGTGCACCTCTGCTTTTTAAGCACTGGGGTCTTAAATGTTGTTTTGTGTGTTTTTAGCCCACAGCTGCGTCTATAATTCACAAAAAACAGCCTTAGAGAAACGAAGTAGAGAGGGAAACGTATCTCCATTTAATTCCTCCGTGGTTGCAGAGCTGAAGTGCTTTTCAAATAGATGCCCTTTCCAACATCGTTGCTTGAAGGTTGACCTATGACTAAGATCACAATTCACTCCTCCGCCTTCACTGCTGTCAGCCGGAGAACGGGCGCCGTGTGGCACTTTTAGATATTCCCTCCTCCACTTTTGTCTGTCTTCTTTTTCATCTCCCCCCCGCCTCAGCCTCCCTCCCCATCTTCCCTCCCTTCCCATTTGTCGAGGTGGCCGGGTTATCAGAGTATGAGTGTGCCCCGGCTCCCATTTTATCCACCATTAATTCCCCGCTCACACATCCTACTCGACCAATCAAGTTTGCCACCCTTCCCGTTTTTGAGGTGTGGGGGGGGGGGGAGCCAATTGTCAGGTGAGTCCCTCCACCCACCCCGACCACCTGCGACCACATCTTCACTGTGGCCCGGCCATTTGACTACAGCAACGCCTCCGCCTGACTTCAGTTAACAGGCTTGTCAGTTGGTATAAGAAAGATGTGTGTGTCTGTGTGTCTGTGTGTGTGTGTGTGTGTGTGTGTGTGTGTGTCTGTGTGTGAGATGGGGAGACAGATGTTAGAGGGAGGGAGGCTGTTGGTGACCCTGCACACACACACAGCTGGAATAACAACCTTACGGGTGAAATGATCAGGAAGACGCAAACCATGACATTGTTTGTCGGGTGTGCAGGAACGGGGGGGGGGGGGACCTCCTCATTTCAATGCAGCATCACAACTTCCATCACATTTAGAGAGAGAGCTGATGAATCCCCACCAGACGCTGCTCTCGTGAATATTTTTACAACTCCTAAATGCTTTCAGTATGAATTCCCTATTTACGGTCTGTTTACTCGTTCAGCCAGGCAGCCCAATAACTCTGCTGCTTTTATTGGGGTAAGTCAAGATTCTCGAAGCAGCTTCGTATGGGCACATTAATTAAAAATACAAAACTGTGAACACGCCTCACCAGAAGAAGCGGCCCCATAACCCCCGCTGCATTCTTCATCGCGGGGCCACCGAGTTGGGGTTTAAGTGGCGTGTTTATGGCCGCGTTGAGTTGCGGGGGAGCTGACGGAGTCTGTTAACTCTCCGCGCGCAGTGTGCTGCCGTTTGACGCTTTCGCGCAGGTATCCCCGGCAGCTTTAATGGTTTACTTCCCAGCACTGCTTCCTACGCTTAAACGATCCAGACAGATCTGACGTGCAGAGTTCACGCCGTTGTTTTAATCGTGCCAATTACGCCTTGATGCGCTGCCGTGCACACGCGAAAAGAAAAAGGACTTCCTTCTCCTAAATTCCACTTTGTTACCGAATGACATTGGAAGCGCCTCGGGCAGGAAAAAGATGAAGGCGAGAGAGCCCGAAACAAGGGCTAAATAAAGGGCCTGCCGGAGGGAAATAGTTGATAGTTTATGGGTTTTAGTTTACTAAATGATCCGCTACCTCCCATTCAAGTGAGTGAAGTTGTCCCATCTATATCTCACACCGATGTCTCACAAGAATAGGCGTCTTTTTATACGTCAAGCTTTCCTCTTCTTATGAACGGACTACGAATCACACGGTTACGCTGGCGAGGGCGCTGGGTACGCAGCAGGGGACTGATTCACTGGAGAATGGATCGTAGGCGTCGCCGTGTTGGCTGAAGAGGACGTGCCCTCGAAACAAGGCGAGGAACTAGGAACTAGGAAGTAGGAATCGTAAGTGGAAGAGTGTTTGTGTGGTAGGGTGCATCACAAGTCTGCACGTTGGAGGACTCTTTGCACATGTTGTTGTTGCCTTTTACAGGATTAGTCATTAGAACACAAGGACACGTTTGTTCAGGTACACGGTGGATAATATCCGTGCACACGTTCCCATTGGATACGTGGCTTTGCAGACCAGTATCGTCCAATCAGGTTCACGCAGGTGCAAAGCCATTAAAACGACGAGCGACCCTCGCTATTAGTCATCCTGTGATCACCACTTCAGCCTCCCACTCCTGCGCTATTTTTATGGTGGTTGTTGATTTAGCAATATTGTCGTGTTTACGTGTGTTCATTATGGGGAACAGCTTGGATTCTTGGAGTTTGCTCAGAGAATCGGGGCCAAATCCAGTATTCTCTCTGTTGAACGAATGGTGACAGAGCCCAGTGCCTCTGAACAATGAAAGAAACACAGTGGACGCCGCCCCCAAGGAGTGTAGATAGATATCTCACACACACACACACACACATATGCAGCCATAAGAGAAATTACAATCATTTATTTCCTCAGAATTCCAGAGTCCATTGATCCTTTTTTGTATTTCTAGCTTCATACTTGATACCCATCTTATGTTTCCTCCCTCTCACCCGCTTTCATTCTGTCTGCGGGATGGCGATCATTTAACGCATGCGTTGGGACGAATAGTGTTACTTTGAACATCGGTATCACACACACACGCACACACACTTCACTTCACCTCCTGAATTTTTGATTTGTGTGCATATACCTACTTTTGTGAATCTATATGTGCGAGCCCAGAATCAGCGCCTCGCGGCTCCCCGCGTGACGGGGGGGGGAGCAATCTGTTTCCATGAGCCTCGTGAACCCTGAGGTCCCGGGGCTGGAGATTAAATAGCTTATTTGAATCCGGGGTTGAAAAAGTTTCCCCGTAAGTACCTCCGGGGGCTGTAAGCAGAATTGAAAAAGCTTCTCTAAACTCCTCCTTTTCGCCGAGGAAATCGAGGCCAGCCTGTGTTGGCGTTCAAGCACTTTTCAAGGCCAATAGTTTCTGTGAGATCTTTAATGCCGAGGTGTCAACCAACCGTGACGTCATTCCTCTGGTGTTTGCAGTTCCGGCCAACATCTACAAGGTGACAGAAGACCTCACAGTGAACGAGGGCGCCAACGTGACACTGAGCTGTCTGGCCAGCGGCAGGCCGGACCCCGCGATCAACTGGCGGCTGCTCAACCCCTCAGGTAAGAATCCTTTGACTCACGTACTCGTGCATTTGTGTCCGTCCATATTCCAGACCACACGGCTGTTTTGGGGGGGGTTTAGTCAAGGTAAATCCGGCTAAATTAGCTGTGACTGACTGTGTTATACGGACAAAGAATACAGTCATCAGATTTTATGCTCTGAAGAACTGAAAAGCACCAATGTTTCCAGTGCAGAATTCAGATAAACGTAACTTCTACTGATCTACTGATAATCTTCTGTACCCATCGGGCACCTGCAGCAAACAGGCTAGCGTTTCCTTTTAGCCCACGCAGTCATTTTGGATTCGGACCCCGATATTTTAATTCCCCTTTATAGCTGCCTTGGATTCGCTGCAGCCGGCGCTGTACTGGTGGCTTTGTGCAATCAGGATTCATTGTAGTAATATCGGTTACAGTCTACAACAAATGTCCCCCCCATGTTTTTTTCACACAGCCACAACCAGCGGCACTTTTTTACAGGGGGTTGAAAGCCACCCAATATCCATTGGGTGGCTTTCAACTTTTTGGGAAGTACTTTGAATACCATCTGGAAATTAAAAACAGGGCAGTGCCAGCGGCCAAAGATTTCAACAACGTTTCATCAGTCCTCGCCTCATTTGTGGGCCAAAGGGTCGACTGTTGTTGAAGTGAGATACTGCTGCTTCGGGCCTTTTATCCCATTTCAGAGAAGGTATATAATGTCCCCGGCTGCTGATAGGCTTGTAGAATGATGGATGGAGATGCTCCAGCTGACATCTCAGTTTGATAAGAGCTCTGTGCAGACTGGAAGACATTCTACCTCTATGTGCTCATCAATTACCATAGCATCAGTTTCATCCGTTAGTCACTTTCTCAGTGCTCCAGACATGTTCCATTAAATATGTGTCCTGGAAGCTCCACATATCCGAAGGTGTATTTGCTTCTTTTGTCCTTTGCATCAAAGGAGACTAATCTGGTCAACCAAATCCTGCGGCTGTGTATCCGACCGGCCGCCTTTGCAGCGCTGTGTTGAAAACCAACAGCTCCCCTTCATTTATTTCCTGTTAAACTGAATTTGAACCCTCCAGGTACACATGACTCAATGTAGGAAAAGCCCCATTGCCGCTTTTAACAGCTTCAGTTCCAGGAATATGGATGGAGACGTTAATATAGAGTGAAGGAAAAAGTAATATCCAATAGTGGATCTTTCTGGCTGCGATGGAGCAGGCCGCATAGCAACCAACCGGCTCCCTGTGCAAATTCTCTGCCACGTCTGCAATGAAGTAGCTTTTCTTTCTTTTTCAGTGTTGTAATTAAGTAGTGGGCAGAGCACCTTCGACTTTGTTCCTCACTGAAACCACCGCTGGCAGGACGGGATTGTGAAAGTCTGTAAAGGGGCTCCAGAGACGGGGGTCCGTCTCCATTTGCAAACACCGCAACTGTTCATAAACCCCGCCCAGGGAGGGGGGAGGGGGGGTGGGGACTGCTGAGAGCGATAATGACATCTGGCAACCCGCGGCCTCGCTCTCAACACGTCACCGGGACCCCAGGTGTTCACGAGTCCCGAAACACAAATCATCAGATCCGAGTGTTTTCGCAAAAGGTTCAGGCCGCTTCGCCGTCCTTCAACTCACTCGTGCGTCACTCGGCTGCATCTTGAGTGCGAGTCTTAATCTGGCTGCAGCTCGTCCTCACGTGACCACGTGCGTATTCATCTTCAGCGTGATGACTTTGTGCACTGTGAAAGCCCAATCGCACTCGCACCCTAAGGTGACAACAGTGTGCAGAATGCCATTAAAACAAGGGCACAAATAGCCTCTTCATCCAGTCACATGACAGCCGGCCCCCTGATTAATGACAGCCCCCCCCAGGGGTGTTTGTCTGTCAGCGTACATCTTGTACAGTGGTCTTTCCTAATGAGAAATTATTGAAAGCAAAAACAATCAATCGTGGCAGTCAAATTAGGACAAACGTATTGTTTGTGGCGTAAAAGCACGTTGACACTACTCATCTATAATGAGTGAATGAATGAATGTGTCCAACATGCAGAACAAACACCCTCTCCTTCATCTTTTCAGAAAATAATTAGGATTTTTCTTATCTTATATCAAAATGATCTGCTTAGCAAATCCATTGTGACTATTTCTGGTTTCCTTGTTGTAACCAAACCGACAACAACAACTCAGAAACGGCAGTTTGCAACTACTCAGCTTTTAAATACATCTGTAAAGCCTTTTTTTTTTTTTTTTCCAATTTGCAAATGCGATCAGGCGATCCCGAACAATTCATTTAACCTGAGTGACAAACGACGCCTTCGACGCCGGAGTTCAACGCGTTCAGCTCAGTTGGTATTCCGTGGCGGGTGGGTTTGTTTGAGGTAGTTGATCGCGGCGTTCCTCAGCGTTGTCCACATTGATTACAGATGTCATCTGTTCACACGCCGCCGTCCGAGCTGATTCTGCTCTCTCTCTCTCTCTCTCAGCCCGGCGCCACGTTATTCCTCTGCTGTTGTTGCCTCCGTAGCTCCGTCATCAGGAAGCTAATTAGATTACACCTGACGCGTTCGCTCTCCTAGTGACAAGCTGGCACGCTAGATGGATGGGAAGATTAACCGAAATTTTTTTGAGGCTTGGCTTTATGTCTATATGAATAATTGGACTCCATCAACGATGGCGTGTGTCTCATCGAGACGCGAGGTCGGGCAGGTCATCGCTTGCGCATTACCGAGCCACATTTGTAATTAAGAGATTGTTGCCGCTGAATTGGATGTGTTTTCATCAAAATATTGCCGGAGCGGTTCTGCGGCGAAGGTTTTGCAACGCGCCGTGTCAAGAGAGAATGCGATACTGCGTCTGGGTAAATACCGCGGCCCGGCGAGGACGATCAAAGATGGCAACGAGGCAGCAGATCCTCCATCAGGACTGAGGACACGGAGCCTGCTCATTAAAGCGGGTTCATGCGCCGGTTCACCCCAAATGGTTTTACTTGTTAGGCTCGAATTGCCGAGCAGATAACGAGCAAAGTGTAACAATTACCACCATCAAGAACAAGGGCCTCCAGGGCGATGAGTGTGATTGTTATAGCAAGTTGTAAATCATTTGATTAAATTACTCTTTCTTGTTTCTTCTGAGTGTGTGTCCTCGTGGTTGAAACGTACTTATTGTAAGCTGCTTGGATGAAAGTGTCAGCTAAGTGACACGTGATGTGATACAGACCCTTCCTGTCACACTCGGGAGTGAATAGGTTGCACTATCCAAGCCCCATATTGAGGTCTGTGCACGCACAATATTACAGCACAACCACGCCCATTAAGTCCTGTAGCTCAGTACAATCTGCCTTCTTCTTGTGTCTCATAATTATTATTGTTATGTGTTAAAATGACGTCTTTGCGCTAAAAACACGGTGAGCGGAACAAAGGGAGAGAACAAACAGGACTGTGCTTTATTATACAAAGTGCCCCACTGGGTGCTCAATTATTCTTATAGTGACTCCAGTAGTTTATCAGCGCATTGGAGACCCTCTCGCCTCTCTGTTTGTCAGTCATTCAGCGTCACGGGGAGGACAACAGGGAACCTCCGATCCACTCGAGCGAAGGCTCGCACGTCTGGACTTCTGAGGAGCTTTCAGTGAAGTCGATAGGACGCTCCTGATTTAAACGCAAGTCTTAAGGAGCCTGTGATGCCTTTACGATGCTGCGCTCCGGCAGCCCAATGGACAGGAAGGCTGCGAATAGCGTCCTATAATCAACATATCAGGGGTTTAACTTCCCCAACACCTATTAGCCGTCCGTCAGCCCTGATGTTTACTGTGTCCTTCAGCCCCGTATTGAGCCCTGAAGGAGTTCTGGATAACGAGTAAATGGTGAGCTATGAATCCACCGTAACAGTTTCTGTGCAGACAAAGACATCCGTCCGAGTGAATTGATTTGGACCGAAGCCCGGGCTCCCGCTCTATACGATCCGGCTGCATATTGAAGTCATGACCCCCTCATAACAGCGCTCGGCATGGCGTGCCTTTAGGCACTTTGATGCTCAGTGCCTTTGACATCACTCCTACGCCGCCCCGCGGCCCGGGTGTCGGCCGGGCTCCAGGCCCGGGCAGCGTCTCCAGCCCCGTCCCCCACTCTGGAGGGAGTGGAGCTGGCATTGCAGGAGACAGGTACACACACACACACACACACACACACACACCCCATTGTGTGCCGAGCCGCCAGCGACAGAGTAATTGACAGGCCTGCTGATTGTGGGAGTGACGGGTGAGGTGATAACAGGTCTTTGTCGGAGCATCCCGGGTCACCCGCCCGGCTCCGCGCCTCCAGCTGTGCGAGGGCAACCGCCCGGAATCCCGCGGCCTCATCCGTCTCCCGGCAGGTCTCAGGTCTGCCGACAGTCGTCCGCTCCCTCTGTTTGTTTTACAATCAGCATCAGCAGCAGCTGTTGTGGAAGCGGTCCGCCGCCACGTGGAGCGCAGAACATCATGAGCACAGCTTGCTCTGCGCCGGCCGGCCCTCATTAGGCGTGGTCACCGCGGGAGCCGCAGAGACTCAGCACTTTTATTATCTGTTTTTTCAGTCCTTAAGCACTTTTTTTTCAGGAGCCCTCACAGCCTCACAGCCCTGAGGGGGGAGAAAGTAGCCTGGAGGAGAAGTGCAGCTCGTTATTGGAAGGTTTTCCGGTTTGAATCTCCGCACAAAAGTTGACACGGACAGGCGAGTAGAATAGAGCGACCTCTTCTTCCCGCGCCCTTGAGCCAGCACCTTTAGAGTGGGAAATGGTGACTGTAATGTCCTACTGGAAATAGTCACAGAGGAGTGTGAGGAGCAGGGAGTGGAAAGGGGGAGATGGAGGTGGAGTCACGGCGTGGAGAAAGACAGACGGCCGCACGGATCCTTCCTTCGGCTCGAGAAGCGGCAAATAAGCAGCCGTCGTGTTCTGGCTCCAACACCTGCGGTATTTCTGCTCCGCCATGCGGCAGCAAGTAGCTTCTGAATAGAAGAGGAAGTTCTCCTTTTGCTCCCGCGCCGCTGAAAAGATATCGATCGTGCAGAACCGCTGCCAAGTGTAAAAAGACATTAGAATCCAGGAAATGTAAAAGCCTCACAAGGCCATTTGTGGTACTTTCATTAAATAAAATTGATATATTGGTGAACATTTGCATGGTGTGTTTGGTCTTGGCAACACGCTGTCAGTAGAGTCATTCATTTGGTATCTCCTTATTATGTCCATTATCTCCACCGGGGGGGGGGAGAGCAGTTCAGGACCAGGACCAACTGTCCAAGGCTCAGGCGCAAAGTTAAAGGTCCAGAAAGGGGGTCGACGGGTGCGTGCACGTACGTGCGCACCGACACACATGCCGTCACACCCGTGCAGACAAAAGAGAATAAATGTCGCGGGATCTTTTATGCTACTCGACTCGGGAAGTTTCTCAAAATCGGCTGCTTAACATAAATTAGCATTTGCAAAATAAACGTGATGTTTGCCGCTGTGGCGAAGGGATGCCGATGAATGATGCATGAGGATATGCTAATGGCTGCCAACCAGTCGCCAGCCCCAACTTACCGGTTTTGGGACTCGCATCCCTCACCTCGCTCTCTCTCTCTCTCTCTTCCTGCCTGGATGGGCCGACAGAATGTGAGCCGCCGCCGCCGCCGCCGTCCCTCACTTTGCACAGAATGAAAGATGCCCGCATAATGCGAATCACCATCCAGCAGGCACTTTCTTCCAGGCCCCCTCGACTCTTTCCAATTCACTGGTGGAAGCCTGCTGTTGCGGATCCCAAGGGGCCCGGCACAGTACAATGTGTGGGAAACCACTGTTGTAATGTGCACTGTCCTCCCTGCATGGCTACCGCCGGGCGGCTTGGGCCAGTTGGCCAATAGGAGCTTAGTGTCCAAACCCGGGGCTGAAAGGTTTCAATGCTTCGAGGTCAGACGCAATGCAGCTCAATTACTTTCAAAATAGGCCAGTTTAATTCTAGATTTGTGTGTTCTTTCTCTGTGTTTACCAGGGAATGGTTTCATTCTAAAGTTAGATATGCAGTCCCTGAAATGGCATACCTCTTAAATACGCTACCAGCACAAAATTGTGTGTCATTATGACAATTGTCGTTTTCATAGCTGCATTCCAGTGGTCACACACGGTAGAGCTTGTTCTGTTTTCCCTTCTTGTGAATTCTATTGTTTTCGAGTCACAACAATAATCAGGAGACGTGCAGCAAACATACTGCGGGGGGGTTGAGACTCGGACCTGCATCCACACAAGAGAGGGGCAACAGAGAAAGAGTTGCTGTCGGCAACGGCGAAAATAAGCCAAAGCCTCGAAGTTAAAAATATGCAATAAGCCGTCCACACACCAGCTGCTACACGCACGGTTGCTATTTAAAAAGCTTGCAATTTAAAAATCACAAGATCCTAAAATAAGCCATGATAATTGCGTTTTCATGAGGAGCAACTTAAAGTATACGATCATTTACACTGTTTGCTTTAGCAGCTACACATCCATATTTGATTCATGTTTATTCTATGAGAGGGAAGAACATTTTCTACACTTTCTGATGTTTACAAAAAAAGAGAAAACAGTTGTTTGAAGAGTTAAAACTTGGGACGTTATTAGCTTGAGCTGCACATTGGGGGTCAGTCAGATATCCGCATCGTCGCACATCACATTTGTCATTATTACCTTGCCCCTCCAACTACAGAGCTATTAAAAAAAACAGATATATCCTAAATTATGAACATTATAAGATGATAATAATAATGTCCTTATGATCATCATTTTGCAGTAGTGACAATAACTCTCATCCCACCATTTGGGTCCAGACGGAAAGGTGTCTGACAGATGGACTGATAGATGGACTACCATGACATTTTGTGCAGATATTCACCGTCCCCAGAGGATGAACTCCACTGACCTTTCTGCTTCCCGTGCTTTCTTTTGCCGATTTATCTCAACAACCTTTGGAAAGATATTTACGGTCCCCAGAAGATGAATCCCAGTGGCTTCGCTCCTGGACGAGTTTTAATGTCTCTGTTCCAGGACGGCTGATGTTATTGAGTTAACACCTGGTTTAACCAGTTTTGTTAGCCTGGTTAACCCGGGTAAAAGTTCCTTCCCTGACTTGTTGCCGTTTCCCTCGCTGTCACCAACCCATTAGCACAGCAATGTGATCATGTGATGCGAGCTAATGGATCCACGGGACATGCTCCCTGACAGCCCTCCGGGTAAATGCGTCTTCATCCGCCGCACGCACGCGCTGATGAATCCCCCGCGGGCGAGATCAAGCGATCTATTCATTACGCTTCATTAAACAGATAAAACGAGGCTCGCAGTCCTGCGGGCGCGGACCAAGACGCGCGGAGGTGTCTTGGCGGTTAATTGTTTCCTTGGTACGACGCGTCACGCTCCGTTCCCGCTCGGCAACACCGGGCGAGATGAGCGGCGAGCCGCTCGTTTCCCTCGTTTTGGATTCTCGTCTCCGTGCTTTGATCTTTGCAGTCACCTGGTTTCCCCTCTGAGTGCGTCCAGCACCTAACCAACGCACGCAGGAAGACACGGAGCTCCGTGAATTTCCATGGCAACACATTTTCAATCATAACGCTCAATCCCATTTCTCCGGCGGTGGGGCCCGGTGGGGCCCGGTGGGGCCCGGTGGAGTGCGGCTCAATATGGTCCGACTCGGGCTGTTGATTATTCTGCCACTGATCTTTCAATCAATATAAGATAATGCTGCATCAGCTCACTCCATCACCGTGATGGACTCGATGTGAATCATTGTCCCGCTCGGCTGGGTTGAGCTCCAGGCGTCATACAGTCATACGGATGTTCTGCTGAACACACACACACACACACACACACACACACACACAGGGCCGTTTGAAGGAATTTGGGGGCCCCAAGCAAAATGGAAATGGAGGCCCCACCCAAGCCCCCGCCGCGCACACGCAAAACCTACAGGAACCACAGCACAGCCATAAAGTTTAACTTCAACCACACTTTATATAAATGAAAAGGGTTTACTGTGATAAACATAATGTGCATGAAATTTGAACATTTAACAATTTAAAATTTGCACACCATTAAATCAAATATACATTAAAAAAGGGCACAATAACTAAATCCAACATACTTAAAAACACACACACACACACACACACACATATACACTCACATTAACATTTTTCAGTTCTCACAAACATGTGCAAATGATCTAAAACTGCTGTTTGCGAGCCTTGTTTTGTGCAGAGGCAATCACGATGTCCTCCATGTCCAAAGACTGGCGAACATCGCGCTCAATTGAAGTAAGTGCCAGTCCTGTGAGCCTCTCTTGGCCCTTTGTGGATCTCATGTCATTTTTTAATCAGCTTCATAGCTGAAAAGCTCCTCTCACCAGAGGCCAAAAAAAAAAAAAAAAAACTCCCGGTTGTTGTGACGCATCTGACCAGTGTGCGCGGGTGCCGGGTGACCCTGCCGCCCCCCCCACCCCCAGTCAGCCCGGCAGTGAGGGGCCCCTTGAGGGGGGACCCCGATAACGGTGTCATTGTACTTTACTGCATTGACTGAAGGGGCGCTCACACAGTTTGTCGTTGCATTTGACTCTTCGTTGTCGTTGTCTTGGGGCCCCTGGCCAGCTCGGGGGGCCCAAGCAATTGCTTGGTTTGCCTGTCCTGTCGCGACGGGCCTGCACACACACACACACACACACACACACACACACATCGAAGTCTCCGTTTGTTTCCCCGGTTGCAGCGCTGCGTTGTCCCAGAGCCTGCAGCCCCTCGCACGTAACACAATGGTGACATTTAGTGTTACAAAGTGTGCGCTCTCCCCGTTCGGCCCCCACGGGACTCCTTCGCTCATTCAGGGGGGATAATTGTTTCTTTTTCGAGAACTATTGTGAGATCTGCACTGCATGTGAGCATCATAATTCCTTATTTCCCATGATTTAATTCCCCTTGGCTTGCTAAAGTCACCGCGTAGAAGGATTATTCGACTCGCTGTGCACCTTTGTGTCCAAGCCGACCCGCCTTAATTACCACACCTCTCTTTGTCGGACATATGAGTAATGATATCTAAGGGGGTTCACATCAATGCTGCTGTTTAGAGGTTTAAAAGGAGGAAGTGTAGTAACATGGCATCTCATCAAACAATTTGTTTTTGCCTCCTCCTGACTCGTGGGTCTTTAATAAGACAAAGCGGATTGTTCCTAATTAAGCTCGGAGACACTGTGTGCTGTACGCGGCTAATTAGCCGCATTGCTGGTTAAGCATGAATTAGTCAGATATCTGTGTGATAGCCTCTGTGGTTTTCTTCCACTTGGTTAAGATGTTTTGTCTGACATTCTCAGACAACAACCCCTCTGTTGATTGAAGCTGTCAGAAAAAAAAAAGCTAATGAAAGTCGGTTTGTTGAATATCAAATGCGCCGCCGGTTTCGAGATTCAACCGAAGTCATTGAGTGTTTCTCTCCACCACCCGACTGTAAGTTGAATTAACTCTGTTTTGCATTGAGAATGCGGATGAAAGCTCTTGTTAAAATTGCCGCCGTGTTTATTTAGTCCCGAATCGAAAGCTCAATGGACATTGAGTTGTCTCTCATACGTTTACTATAAACTGTAAAACGCTTCGGCCTTTGTGTTGAACAGCACAATTACTTCAAGCAGAGACACTTATCTGATTCCAATGTGATGAAACAAGACATTCTGCATGTTGGAATGTACCTAAATATACAGCATTTTGTATGTTCTGGGTAAATATTTGATTCTAATTCAGCTTTCATCTGTAAAAAATACAGTTAAAATGAAATATTATGTGACGGAACAAAGATCCATGTGAACATCAACTTCATTCCACTGGAAGTGATGGTTACAAGGTTGTTCTAGTCTGTGGGAACACGGAGTAGAAATGAGAAGCATTTAACTCTGTCTCCTTCCTTCCTTCCTTCCTCTCCCTGCTCCCCTCCCCCTGCCTCCCCCCGTCTCCCCCGTCCCCTCTGTCTCTGCAGCCGAGCCGCTGGATGGGGAGGAGTACCTGGACATTACAGGCATCATGCGAAACCAAGCCGGCCGTTACGAATGCAAGGCCAGCAACGACGTCGCCACGCCTGACGTGAAATATGTCAACGTGGTGGTCAACTGTGAGTAGCGGGACACGCCCTCCCCCCGCCACGCCGCGCGCGTCTCTGGAGGACGCATCCGTTGGATAAATGTCAGGATTAGAATTTAGGGCGGAGACCTGCAGGATGTGCTGGAGCCAGAGAGAGAGAGAGATGACTGAACCTGGCTTTAATAGCCACTCTCATTTCCCCTGTAATTGTCCCGTGCCTTCATTATCATCATTGCATGATTTGCTTAGCATTTCAAAATAAGATCAGCTAATTACATGTTGTCAGGGGCCCGTGTTGGAGCTGTCAGGTGTAATACATCGGCCGGAGTGATGGAGACACCTCTGGAGACGCCGCGAACCGACTTCCCCCACAGAGCCAAAAGAGCTCTCTGATCCCGACAAATCGCGCGTGCCGTGTTTCCCCATTTGCCCTTTAGCCGACTGCCTGAATGAAATGATGAGGATTTCGGCGTTGAACTATTTCTTTATGTGTAATCCTAAATAGAAAAGCGACATTCGTCCACATGTTCATGGTCGCTGTGACGTTTGTGGTTAATTCTTTCTGTAGGACAAATGTTACTGTAATAAGCTCCTGTGAATGTATCTTGTGATGGTTCCTGGCTTGAAGGCCTGAATATAGAACATTACAAAATGTGTAAACCGGCCCTGTAGACACATACTAATGGAAGGAAGTGAATTTCACCTGCTAGGAGACGTAGTTGTGGATTCAATGATTTCATTTAGCAGTGCCGTTTTAAGCTGTTACTTATTTGCACATTGCATGACCCCTGCAGACCCTCCAACCATAAAGAAAACCCAGAGCTCAGAGACCCCCGTGGGCCGCATGGGGACGCTGCAGTGCGACGCCACCGCCGTGCCCACCCCGGAGTTCGAGTGGTACCGGGACGAGAAAAGGTAAAAACTCCAAGCCCAGTCTCACCCTGCGTGAAGTACAGCAGGCCGTGCACCGCCAGTCACAAGCCATTAGACAGAGCCACTGGTCTCCTTTATCTCCACATCCACTGTGAGACGCGTTGCCTCAGAGCCGAATGCTGTAACTGTCTCCTCTGATGTGTCCACGGTGGAAACGCTGAGAGACTGCTGGAGACTACAAAGTCTTCTGTTCTATGTGCCGCACAGCACTTTATGTCATGAGTTTGTAGCGCGCCTGGTGTTTTTGCAGTGGTAGAGTTGGTGGTGATGATCGGCTGCAGAGATCACCTCAAAAGTAGTTTGTCCTGACTCGCCAGGAGGCACGGAGCAGGTTGAATAGTGAGGCATAATTACTAGGGGTGTAACGATTCATGCTTGCCGATTCGATTCATGGACGATCTGGGTTCATTTAGAACGATTCGATTTGATTCAGTGACTTGAAATCGATTCAGTAACTTCACTGGACAGTGCAGGCAAAGTTTCTGAGATCCCTGTTGTTTCTTGTAAGGAAATCAGGTTTAAATTAATTATGGATATTATAAACAAGCAAACAACAATTAGTGGCAAATATATTAACCTTTTATTTGACTGCCATTTTCAATGTAAACATTACATAATAATTACACAATGTTTGGATCAATTCACAGAACCCCGGATGTTCAACCACATTGTCGGGTCGCATGTCTTTACAGATGAACTTGTTACTGTGATGTTGAGTTTTGTGCTGGCGAGGCCTGAGGCGTCTGCAGAGCTGAGTTACCTGCTGCTGCTGCAGCGGTGACGCTGCTAGAGGTCCTGACTGTCGGCGTTGTTTAATCCCACGGCGCCTTAGTAGATGGCCGGAAAGATTCGCTGTGTTTCCGTGTTTTTTTTATTCGTCTTCTACATATTCTACAAACAGCGACTGACTTATTTAGAACACCTCCGTGTTTGCAAAAGCCAAAATGTTTCCACGCGCTAGATCGATAAGTTGGTTTGTAAATGTCTCGCTCGCAGTCGTCTCCTCCACGCTGTGTTTTGTTGTTGTTCAGCTGCCGCAGCGTACTGATGACGTCACAGACAGGCAGACTGAATCCAGTAACGTTTAACGTGTCTAAAGTGCTAAAAAACAAACAAACAAACACACATCCACATCGTTTTTGTGCTTAAATCCAATGTGCAGTTTCCAAGTATCGATACAATCGATTATGTACCATTTCAATCGATTTGTAATCGGTATATGTCGTCCAGAATGCCGATTTGCGGAGCACAGATCGATTCAGTTGGATCGCAGGAATATAAATCGATTAATCGATTCACTCCTCGCATTCTCAGACAAAAAGTGGCTCCCGATCATTTTTAACTCAGCGCTTATTATGGATCCCTCGCCGTGTTCCCCGTGTTCACATGCCGGTGTTCATTTGGCGACATCGTGCGGGGTTTGATAAAGACTAATCCCCAACTTCATCGCTCACTACTAATGGAAGTAACGGCCGCGGATTCTGTGATGTCCTTTTAAAAAGGAGATCCTTCTGTCACTGAAATGTGCCCACCCGCCCCCCGTTCCGCCGCCTGTGAAATCCTAATTTATGGGACCAGACACATGTGATCTTCAGATCGGATCAAGTGTCCCGCTTGTGTCTGCAAAACACTGGAAGAGAATGGGAGCATAATCGCACCAACAAGCCGTCCTTCCCTTTCATCATCATCTCATCATTTAATAAGTCCGCCCTCTGCAGGACGCCGTCATCGCCACTTTCACGCCCGCCTAAATCGCAGCAGTGAGCGTCCACTAGTGACGGGGAGGGAATCATCGGAGGGGGGGGGGGGGGGGTTACCAAAGATCTGGCCTCCAAAAGGAATCCGCTCCAAATGGTGGAAATAGTTTTGCTGTCTCCAAACGCCATCAATCTCCGCTTTGTCCCCGGAGGATTTTGGCCGTGAGCCTGTTTATAACACACACCCCTCCCTCCGCCCCCTCCGCCCAGCGGGAAGTGTTATTGCCCTTTCTCCTTGGATGATGGTGTTAATGCACCATAATAAAATCATTTATCCTCGCTTGGATAGTTCATTTCACAGCGCGATGCCGGAGAATCAAAGCTAATGTCACTCGTTGTTTCCTCTTTAGCTGAAGGTCCTGCGCTTGTTTCCCTCCTGATCCGTTTAAGCTCCTCGGCGTCCGGCGGCTACCAGGCCTGCAAGCGGGGCCCAGATGTCAGTGACGGCCGTCGCGGCGGCAGATGTTTCTAAGCGGTGACCCTGTGAAATGGGTGCTCGTGTGCCGCCTGCACGTGTTTTATTCCCCCTGTTTGTCGCGTCAGCAGTGAAGCAGTTAATCTCCGTTCCGGCTTGAAAAAGAGGACCAAAGTACGGCTGCTGCTCCACGCTTGTACAGGAGGTGATTCCTGCACTAACAAACCACAAATTAACTGCAAGTCGAGGAGCAGTTGATGGATTTATATTAAGCCTTTTTTAATCCTTTAACGATAAACAAACGATAATTAGTGATACCTCTTTGATTTTTCTCAAACAGCACTGACCCCTGTTATTTTTTTAATGTTCTTAATTTCAGACTTACTTCTGCCATGGGAAGGTACATTTACGTCACCCGCTGCTATAAGTGCAGAATCTCAACGTTTAATTAATACTCAACAACACAACGCTAAATGAACCCCGGCTCGTCGGCAACTTCCAGCATGTCACTTCCTCTTGGCAGCTTATTTTCCCCCCAAACAAATCTCAAAGCCGCTCTCAGGATGGAGGCACTCATTTAGTGTCTAGTGCCGAGTACGAAACGTATCGCTCGCCCGACTGGAGGAGTAAGCACTTTAGGGACGAGCAAACCGCTCGGCACAAGCTGCTGAACACACACACACACACACACACACCTTGGCCCACCTTACCTCGTGCACGTCCATCCTTCACTCTAAATCTCCTCGGGAAAACGTGGAGCTCCTCAGCTAATGAGACGTGACACATAAATGAAACTCTGCTTCGCCGTCTCTCTCCGACGTCACCGTGGATCTGAGAGTCTCCGTGGATTTGAGAGTCACCGTGGATCTGAGAGTCACAATGGATCTGAGAGTCACAATGGATCTGAGAGTCTCCGTGGATCTGAGAGTCACAATGGATCTGAGTGTCTCCGTGGATCTGAGAGTCTCGTGGATCTGAGGTCTCCGTGGATCTGAGTGTCTCCGTGGATCTGAGTGTCTCCGTGGATCTGAGAGTCACAATGGATCTGAGTGTCTCCGTGGATCTGAGAGTCACAATAGATCTGAGAGTCTCCGTGGATCTGAGTGTCTCCGTGGATCTGAGAGTCCACAATGGATCTGAGAGTCTCCGTGGATCTGAGAGTCACAATGATCTGAGTGTCTCCGTGGATCTGAGAGTCACAATAGATCTGACAGTCTCCGTGGATCTGAGTGTCTCCGTGGATCTGAGAGTCACCGTGGATCTGAGTGTCTCCGTGGATCTGAGAGTCACAATGGATCTGAGTGTCTCCGTGGATCTGAGAGTCACAATAGATCTGAGAGTCACCGTGGATCTGAGAGTCTCCGTGGATCTGAGAGTCACCGTGGATCTGAGAGTCTTCGTGGCACTTGGGCATCCAATTAACCTCCCCAGGGGGCCGATTCATCACGATCTAAGCAGGCCGGGATTTCAGAACCGCAAAATATTACTACGCGGCTGTCACAACCCTCCCTGCTCCTTTGGTCTTGTTTTCACCCGCCGTGCGTGATGGGAAACTGGACCAACCTGTCTGTAATGGTGACCAGTTCCCAGGCAGCAGCTCATATTGATATTACAATGAATTCCTTTGAGAATCGAGTTTGTCCTCTGCTAAAGGAGCCGTTACAGTTGGTTGCTCCTGTTATTCGCTTGCTGAGGGCCGACCCGGCAGACGGATGTGTTTGTGGGTTCGTCGGTCGCCAGCGACGAGCCGCTTTGGATCCCCTCTGGGTCGTTGTCCCAGCAGGACTCTACACCTGATTTCATTCATCATCTGCCTGGAACCATAACAGGCCTGTCACTCTCCCCCGGCAGTGATAACCTACTTTAGCGGCTCCCGCGCGCCAACAGAATCAAATCCGCCCGCCCGGCGACTCGCTCAGGCCTCTCATCCCTGCCGCCGCAGCCAAATAGAGGGGTCAAATAATTTCACTCTGGGCTTTAATGGGAGTTAGAGCGAGTGTGCGTCAAGGACGGACGGCTGAAGACGCCCGCTGGAACTCTGCTGCCCTCTGCTGGCGGGGAGCGACTTTGAGTGCGAGGATAGACTTCCCTCCAAGAAGAAAAAACTCACGACACTCACAATTTCTGCCAACTTCTCTGATAATGTATTCCAGTTCATGGCGCCGGATGAAGAATCTGGCAGAGGCACGGGAATATTTTAGGGTGCAGATGTGCTCGCGGGGGCCACGTTCCATCCGAGCTCCATGGACGCAAATAGATGCAGTTTCCTCTTCTTTATGCACCAGTTTATTTGACTTCACTGAAACCGTCGCTGCGAAAACAAAAGGGCCTTGTTTCTCTCCAGTTTATTCTCCTACTGCTAATCTGGAATAAAGATGGTGGATTTCTTTGCTGTGCGATTCTATCCGGGCCTCTCGGCATGCTCGGCGGGCAGGAAGAGCCTTTTTAATAGTGCAGTCACCTTCTGTGAAGACACACTGGAGAGGATATCTGCAGCTGGTCTTATCGCGGAGGGTGGATTTGCTTTTAGATGAAGTGGGGAGACACACACACACAGACACACACACACACACACACACACACTGTTCCCGAGCTGTCCCTGTGCGAAGGACCTCAGCACTTTATCGAGTCCCTGCTTCCCAGTGAGGCAAATTATGCTGTGACCATGACGTGCATTTCCCTTCTTATGTTAATACTTTCTATCAGTCAAGCGTGTGTCAGCACAAACTTCCTGCTCCCGTATTCCAATTCCGATCACCACATCGCCCGGACTTAAGCAGGATTAAGTTGAGGCACCTCGGATGAACCGGAGCTCCCGCGTAATGCGAAAGGGCCTCGAGCGGAATCCATTATGCGCGCCGTGTAATTTGAAGGGTTTTATTTGGTTGCGATGATGTAAGGAAGTTTTATTGCCGAGGTTAACGGACTGAGTCAGCAAATTGAATTGATTTGAATGTCAAGGGCCGGCAGGATTGATTGACAGAAGTTTGGTGGTCGTTAAGAGTCCCAGAAGTGAAGGTTGAGGAACGTCGGCAGTCTACAATCATACAAAATGAAACCAGCTGACAAACTGCACTGCGGTGGCCTTTAGGCTGTTTGTAAGCCCGGAAATACGGCATTTTCTAAAACGTTTTAGTGGAAAATGTGCGTATTTCGTTGGTTAATTATGGTCTGATGGAGTTTAAGGGAGTTTTGCTTATTTTACCCGAAATGTCACCAACTCCCTTTTGGATTGATGACCCCTGATTTTCATTACTTTGCAATTTCCTTAAAATGGACTCTCTTCTGTCGCTCTCTGCTCTCCAGGTTGTCCAATGCCCAAGGCGTCAATATCCAGATCATCGGCACCAATACCATTCTCATGGTGGCCAATGTCACTGAAGAGGATTATGGGAACTACACCTGTGTGGCCTCCAACCGACTGGGCGTCCAGAATGCCAGTGTTTTCCTCTACAGTGAGTGAAGACGTCAAAGATATCACAGCTCACTCCGCCAAATACACACTTTAGTTTTTTCTTTAAGCTTCCAAAGGCTCGTCTTACTTTCACAATACTTTAATACTTTAAATACATGATGCTCGTACTCGAGTGTGTTTCACATGAGCTTTCTCCATATGGGGCGCCTTTTGTAAAATGTCGCACATTCTAAAATCCTGCGCAGTTTTGCCACATTTAGCATTATCATATGAACAAAAAAGCACGACAATATTCACATGTAACTTTTTCAAACATTTAGAGAGAAACATACATAACTTTTCCAAGGATAATGTTTGGCAGTAACAAAGTTGTTAAATAATATAAACGTTAAATGTAAATCTAAATGTACATGTTAAATGTAAATCTAAATGTTAAATCTAAATCTAAATGTTATATCTAAATGTTAAATCTAAATCTTAAATCTAAATGTTATATCTAAATGTTAAATCTAAATGTTAAATCTAAATCTTATATCTAAATCTTAAATCTAAATGTTAAATCTAAATGTAAATGTTAGATCTAAATCTAAATGTTAAATGTTATATCTAAATGTTAAATCTAAATGTAAATGTTAAATGTAGAGTCTACATTTAGCTCTACATTTAACATTTAATTGACGACAACATTACAATCATTACGGTAATTCACGACGTCCGGATAAATTAGCTCTTGTTATAGAGTAGGGGTGTCAGCCTTAAAGGCAGTAATCGCCTATTTGTAAAGTGTCATATTCCAATCTTTGAACTGTTTTTAAACCAGATCCCAAAACGGTAACACTCTGCTTTCATGTTGACCTCCTCTATGCTCATGTACATTTCCATTAAATATTAATGTATAGATTTTGAGAAAAGTAAAAATGTAATCAGTTACCACACCGATAACACCTCAAATAGAGGCACATTTCATTTTGATGTCCGCATGACCGCAGTGGAGAGGGGGTTCACGGGCAACCTCCCCTTGACCGCACCATCGGCGACGATTTGGCCGCGACGGTGAAGGCGGGGGGGGGGGGCACGGGCGCGGATGCTCGCGGTTAAAGGGGGGGTGGTGCGCAGCCAAATCCCCCCCCCGCATGATTTCAACGTGGACAGTATGTAGCCCCCTTCCTAAAATAAGTTTGACACCCCTAACATTTAGATTTACATTTAACATTTAGATTTAGATTTAGATTTAGATTTAACATTTACATTTATATTTAACATTTAGATTTAACATTTAGATTTAGATTTACATTAAACATTTAGATTTTGATTTAACATTTAGATATAACATTTAACATTTAGATTTACATTTAACATTTATATTATTTAACAACTTTGTTACTGCCAAACCTGGCAGTAACAAAGTTTATTCTCTCTAAATGTTTGAAAAAGTGACATGTGAATATTGTCGTGCTTTTTTGTTCATATGATAATGCTAAATGTGGCAGAACTGCGCAGGATTTTAGGACGTGCAACATTTTACAAACGGCGCCCCATATCCACATGTGTGTACATAATATGGTCTTCAATCACACCAAGGGAGGCAATAGCATGACGTGACCACCAGGCGTCACCAAACGCTCCTCAAAGTCTGGAGTCGCTGGGCCAGAGGAGGTGCATGTGTTAATGTGTGTTACTCATGTGTCAAACCTCTGTCCCTGTCTCTCTCTCTCTCTCTCTCTCTCTCTCTCTCTCTCTCTCTCTCTCTCTCTCTCTCTCTCTGTCTCCCTCTCTCTGTCTCTCTGTACAGGACCCGGGACGGGCCGAGACATCAACGGCTCCGCCCCTGTGTCTCAATCACTGTGGCTCCTGCTGGCCTGCTTCGCCTGCCTTTTCTTCAAGTGTTAATACCGCTGCCCTCCTCTTCCTCCCACCCCCCCTCTCCTTCCCCTCCCGGCCTTCTTTCCTCCTCTTCCTCCTTTGTCTCCAACTCACCGACATTCTTACTGCTACCTAGTTACCTACTTTTACCCCCCCCCCTCCCCCACCTCCCCTCTCGCCCCAGACGGTTTGCATCATGATACGGAAACCACACATGCTCGCGAGCACCGCTTACAGATATTACAGAAAATGTGCATTAAATGTTAGAAAGAGAACAAAAGGGACAGAAGAAGCAGAGAGTGCTCTGGTATTGCATTGTTCTTCATTTGTATGCACTTGTTTATTTCTGCTATATCTTGTCTTCTGAGTCTGCATCGTTGTTTGACATTCGTCATATTTTTCTCTTGATGGGAGCAGAGGCTCCCGCTCGCAGGGATGCCAACAATCATAAGTGTGTTTCTTCGTCCTCACACAGATGCATTATGTTAACTTAATTGTAGATTTGTCAGAGTGTTTAACCAGTGCATTAATGAATAACATGCAAAGCATCTGCCAAATATCCAGAAACTATAAAGATTTTAAACTAACGCATACAGAAATAAAAGGAAATAGAGTAGAAATAAACGGGAAAATACTGTAATGTGATTCTGCTAGACTGGAACTCGGACAAAGCGATATCCCTCTGGTCAATAAAGTAGTCCCTGCATGCAGCAGCCACTCGGGTCGCTGCTGTCGGGCCCAGATATCGAGGACGCGCCGAGCCGAGGAAACGAGCACATCTTTGGGGGACACGTGTCCAGCGGCTTCGCAACCACTCGCCTTTGTTCCAAACAAATCCCGCTTTCCTTTGAAAAGACAAGTCGCGTGCTGCCACTGCAAACGGGACACAGAGACGCGTTGTAGATTTTGCTTGTCGGATCCCCGACCGCAGCGTGCAGTTTGTCTCGTCCCCGTCCAGCCGCAGACGCTCGCCGCCGCTCCGCGTTTATTAGTTTCTTTACGTTTTAGGATCATTATTCTATACTGCTGGAATTTGGATATAAATGTATGACACCAATGAATGAAGTGTGTGTGTTTTAATATGAAATGTTGCAGACAAAGTCATAATATATTGATATTGAGGTTGATTTATTTTCTGTCTTTACCTCTTTCATTTGATGTGTCCATGTTTAGGGTAGCAAACTGTTGGGGGTGATTAACGTGTAGATCTCCTGAACACAAGCTCGCTAGAAAAGGATGTTTTTTTTTTAAAAAGCATAAAAAGAAAATAGTTTTGTGCGGTTCTTATTGTAACAATCGTTGAGATAATACAAGTGCTGGCTTACATGATGTTTTAGAGAATGGAATATTATATTTAGGAGTTTAATGCGCGAGACGCAGGTAAATAAAGCTGAAAGCCACCAAGAGCTGATCTTTACCGAAGCGATGCCGTCATATAACATCTTCTACAGCTAAACGAATGCTACATTTGTGGATATTTTGTAAAAGAAGAAGAACTTTCGGACGGAGCGACTCCTTCGGCAGAGAGAAGGCGGTCGCTGACGTGGCCGGCGACCCGGTTAGCTGCCTTTCCGCCACGTTGACCTGCTGACAGGTGACCGGCCGCGTACCGACTCCAGCGCTCGTCTCCTTGGGTCTCCTAGCAACCGAGCCGAGGCGGCGCGTTCACTGTAAAACACACGTGTAATTAATGTCATCCTGGTGTTCCATTAAAGGAGTTCTCCCAGCTGTTTTCATGGTGAATGCTTGTGAGGCCACAGCCTGTAGTTGTTGTGCAGAGGCCTCAAACAGGCCGATTCCAATCAAAGCAGAATCATCTGAGCAGTTCAAACTGAATCGGTGACTTTCACACAAACAGCGTCTTATGATCAAACGTCTCGGTCTGGGAAGCGATAAAGAAGGCGCTTGATGCTGTCATCATCTTACACAGGCTTTTTTTTATTGGTTTTCTACGACCGAACAACTCTGCTTCGTCCACTTTAACGTGGATTTACTTGACTGATGTTTTTCTACTACATTAGTGTTTCCGCCGACGCTTTTTAGCCTCCGGGTAGCTCGTCCGCTCGGAGCCTTTCGCCGACCGTTATCCGCCGACTGTAGAAAGAAATGAATAGTTCTCCATGATCCGTTTGCATGCAGTGTGGTCTGTGCTACAGGTTCTATTTCAAGTCGGTCTGTGTGTCTCACTCGCTGTGTGTGTCGCATTGAAAGAGGAAAAAAAACACAAAAAAAAAAACTCAGGCCAGTGCAAAGTTCTGAGACAAACTAAAAGTTTCTTTTGCCGGAGGAGACCCTGACAGAACACCAGAGCAGGGCCCAACACCTCCCAATTGCGCTCAGCGTTGATTGTTTGAGCTTTTCTACCGTTCAGGTGATTCCCACGCGAGGCCGACGTGGACGTCCAGGTGTGTCCACGCGGGTTAAACGCAGCCAGGGAGCTCTGACTGACACCAAGTTACACTCGCGTAAAAGCCATGGAGCTCCGTCTCATCCACAGGAACAGGAACAAGAAATACTGCCCCCCCTCCTCCCCGCCCCTCAGTATATACTGAGGACTGTAGAAACAGCTTCTAGTTTACTATTGAGCTTCGCCTCAAAACATCTGCATCGCTTCACTGTACAGAACTGGCTTGTGTGTGCGTGTGTGTGCGTTCACTGATTCTTCATTATTATCGGCCTTGAGAAACGTGATGAGTTGGAGAAATAACTTTCTGCTTTCTATTGAGCTGCGGTTACAATAGTAACGGACTTTGGACTGTTTTTCTTTTGCCCCGCAGTGTGTGTGTGTGTGTGTGTGTGTGTGTGTGTGTGTGTGTGTGTGTGCGTACAGCCTGATGTTTCTACACTAGAACGATGTAAAGTTGGCAAATCCATAAGATGGTGTTTATACTTAACTTTTAAAGCAAATGTGACTCCCTTCTCTTTGTGGGAGATGGAGATTATTATACAGCCATGTCCCGTCCCACCGTTTGATTTACTTACTTTATTAAAAGGTCATCGCGGTCCGTTTCTAAACAAAAAGATATGTAATAAAGGAATATGACAAAATGTTCACAACACAAAATAAAATTGTTTGAATTCAGTGTTCTGTATTTGAATGTGAATGAAATGCCCAAAAGGAATTACGTTTTTTGGGGACAGCTTGGAACGCACTAAATCTTAAAGAGACAATTGTGTTCATCATGTAACATGCAAATAAAATGTTATATATGTGTTGTTGTATTTTCCGTACCTGAGCTCATGACCAAGGGGACGTTGCATATATTAAAGAGCTGACACACATTGATTACAATGTGCCACGGGCTTTTATTTTTCTATTTCTTTTTATTTAAACGCACCACTGTAGTGCCGTGGGAGCGGCTGCAGTACATCGTTTCACCACAAGAGTTCGCTGCAAACCAAACTACGCACCTGCTGTGCTGAAGGAAGATTAATGACACAAGTTATTATTTTACGCAATGACTGCCTCTGACAGCGAGCGTCTCCCTGTTAAAGGTGAGCTGGAAGAAGCGTGGTGAGAAGATCTGCGAACGTGTGGTTATTTTTAGGAAAAGTTTAGTACCTCGAAAGAATAATATGTAAAAAAAAACAGTGCCGAATACTATTTTAATGTCAGTATTGTATATTAAAGGCTCAATTAGAGACGTGGGGAAAAAAATCCAAATTTTTTTTAATGAAATGCACATTATCTTTCGTACAGGACCAAGTAATGATATGGTAATTTTTAAAAAGTCATAAAAAATAGGACTAATGTTGTAATTAAATAAAGTCATAATAAAATCATGACAAAAAAAAATCTAAACCGTCCTTGGATAAAGTCGGGTTAAAAGTGTTGAAACAAGGTTTCCAAAAATAATAATCCTGTATGTCAAAAAACATGTTGGTTTTATATGACAAAAAAAGACAATCCTATTTTTGATTGTTGTACAGTATTAGGAGATTGAGTTTAAAAATAGAGGACCAGTGGCATATTTTGTTTAATTGGAGTAAAGAAAAAGTTCTAATATATGTCAAAACATCATTAAAAAGGCTGAAATTAAGTTTTAAAAAAGACGCAGTTTGTGAAATGACTAAATAAATAATATGGTATGTCAACAGAAAGCCATGTTATTGTATTCATGAAAAAGTCATAGTATAAAATCTAAAAAAAAAATCTTCTCTCGAATGTTGAAAAGGTAAAAAGTTTTGAAAAAGTATTATTCTAAAAGTTGTATAATACAACAAAAAAATCATATTTTGGTCTAAACTCACAGCATATTGTGTCAAAAAATAGGGATAATATAGTATGTTGTGAAAAGCAACAACAACAAGTCATGGTATATGACTAATTTAATTTAAAAATGTTTTCTCAAAAGTTGAAAAAAAGTCATGCTAGTTTGTCTGTGCCTAAACTTTTTCAGCGTTATTCGCACAAAGGTCACAGAACCAGTGTTTTTGTTCTCCTGTGGGTGAAGTTTTTGTGAGACTATTTTAACTCCTTGCAGTTGCATGTGCTCGTGCATAAATCAATCTTTACTTGTTTTCCTTGCATCCCACACGCGTGTTGCCGGTGCTTATGAAAAAGATTGATGCCTCCAATTTGCGCTTCACCACAAGAAAGTGAATATGAACATGTATGTTGTACAAACTCAACAGTTTATGGTGGTAATTGGCACATTTGCTTTATTTTGAAAACAGACATTGAAACCATCTTTATTTTTTCATACTTTTTCTCACAAGTTTGAACTCCTCGATAAGGTTGAAACTGGACATTGCACTCACTGGAACAGGTGAAAAGTATCTTTTTCTTTTCGCGTTTGTTTGATTTTTCTTTTTACTTTTTTTTTTTTTGCGTAACATCAGTGCATTTTTTTGTTTAATAATCAGTTTTTTTTTCTCCAATTCATATAAACTGTCATAACAACACCAAAGACATCAAAAAAGAAGCCGCCACACCTCTTAAGTTTTTGTGACTGCGAAAGAGTTCCTCTCAGAGGGAGAGTTCCCATCATGCATCTGGTTCGATGGTTCATGCTACTGTTCTCACGTTTGGTTGTCAGAACACAAATAGTCCTGTTGGAGCCAGTTACACCAATACTATAGCTGACATCTGTAGTTTATTATATGCTTATGTCATTTAAATGGCAAAAGGTCCTTTACTGTAAATGTGAGCAGACAGGGAGTTTGTCAAAGGGGTGTAAACCGAGCCCGGACGACCCGAGCAGGAATAGAGAGGGACTAGTAGTCCTGTCCTATGGGGGGGTTGTGTGTTCAGGATGAAGCTGCCCAACTGGAAGTGTCACACGTTTAATCACGCATTCTATTCCCCCTCCGATGTGTCGGCGCGTAAACTCGTTTGAGGCGTCTTCAATGCACTCGTGGAGTTGAAAAGTAGGGTTGCATTTTCAAAACCACCTTGTTCTTTTTGTGCGTGCATTTGCAGAAGTACAGATTTCATTTGCAAGGTGTGTTTAAATAAAGTGCATTGAGATGCATATAAAGTGTGGCGCATTCACAATGCATTTTAAATGTGTAAATATCCAGTTGGGAGCATTCATTCCACCACTCATCCACTTATATTAGAGAGTGGAGACCAAATCGAATCCTCCTTCTCCTCCTCCTCCTCCTCCTCCTCATCATAATCAGGGTAACAATCATTTTTATTAATCGACAACCATCAACATCTTCATCATGGAGATAACAATCATTTTTCATAATCAACCATCATCGCCATCACTTCCTCGCAGTATTAGCTTGAGCCAAAAAACGTAACGCTGGAAACTCCCCCAACACGAGTAAATCATTGCCACACAAAAAATGACAAACAAATAGAAACGGACGGCCTTGACGTCGGGAAGGCCAAGAGCGACCTTTTTTAGATTTTTGTGATATTCGTCATACTCTTAATTCTGCTTTCTTAAGGTCAGACTTTGCCTTAGTCATCCTTGGACTCGGTGCCCTCGGCCGCCGCATCTGCCGGAGCGGCCTCCTCTGCTTTAGACTCCTCCGCAGCATCTGGGTGGAGGGAGGGTGTGAGATGTAGAGATATGACACATTAAAGGTGGGTCGGGGAGAGGGAGAGATCAAATTAGCCCGCGGAGAGGAGGAATAATGAAGCTCTATCTGGGTCTTCTGACACGCTGAGCATCAAAGCTTTCACACGTCGGATGTTAAAAGTATTTTAGGTTTGGTGACATTCACAAAATATGCAAAAGTAGCTGGAAAATACACAGAAGGAACCGGGGAGCCACGTTGCTCACAAGATGTCAACTCTACTGAAACGGAGAGCTCGTCAGCCAGGAGATGCAACCTAATGCCTGAAATCCCACGTTGGCTGCGTAAATAATGAAGCACCAGAGTGCCGCTAATGGAGCCGTGAGGCATCCGAACCGACATCACAGCGCTAACAGCAGCATCGCAGCCTGTCACGTTGAACGCGGCGTGACGCCCACACGGTCGAGCCCTGTAACAGCATCCAGTGGGGGCTCGCTGTAAAGGTGAACATACGATCCGTGATACGCCACTCGGCCATTGCTAATCAGTAGTAATATCGCACGAAAGCTTCATTGTTTTAAATTGTGTTGTTTTAGTCTTTTGCGGAATGCAAATTTTGCTGCAAATCAATTATTCATATTTATTACAGTCCATGTAATAAATTCCTTTTTTTTTTCTTTCAAACTCTCCATGTGTTTTTTTTGTTAGCACTTACCTGTTTTATCATGTAGCACTTTGGGATTTTCTTAAATATAAAGTGCATTACAAATTAAATGTATTATTATTATGTAAAATTGAATTCCCTGATAAACTCTTTCATATTGTAGATGGGCTACAATGGTTTTGAGACAATATATATTTTATTGTTTCGGACCAAGGCTTTTATTCAAGAGCCCTTGAGTGAGCTCATACCGCGATGATCTCATTTAATACAAAGAGAACACATAAAAAGATGACATCATTTCATAGGACGTTGGGGGTGACTGAGTGCATGTGTGTGTGTGTGTGTGTGTATGTGTGTGTGTGTGTGTGTGTGTGTGTGAGGGCAGGGCCGGCAGAGAGACAAAGGAGTGGGGCGATCCTGTCTGCGTTAGCGCTCGTGCTAATGTGTGAGCACGCGTGTGGATCGAGACAGACCGCTGGACGTCTAGTTCAAAGGTAATTACCTCTTTAGCCGCCATTACACACATTTCTCTGCAGCCACTCGACTGTGTGATGCAATTGCACGCAAGTCACAAAGGGAAAGCGAGTCGGTCATTGTGACACCGGCGCCGTCTCAGATGCCGACACATTTGCAAATGAGAGGCGGCGAAACAGACGGCCCGAAGTCAGGGGATCTGGGCCATCGATCATTGCCTGATCAGCACTTTAGATGCATATGGTCCGCTTTTTTTTTTTTTTTTTTTACAACTTCCATTTACATTGGTAATTTTGCGCGTCCTGTCCTTGCTAGCAATTAGTCACATCAGCAGCGTCCGGTCTGTCGTCTGTCCAACACGAAAGGACAAAGCGGCAGATCGGCGGCTCGTCAATCACGTCAAAGAGTCCCATTGGTCTTTTTTATCTCCTCCGCCACCGATAAACCACTTCATAGGGGGGGGCGGCTCAAACAGTAGGACAACACAAAGATGGCCAACGTGAACCATAGGCCGACGGCACATATTTAAGATTCATCTTGTATTCTAAGCGTTTAAGTGTCCGTTTTTAGCCGTTTGGTCAATTTTTGCGTATTCTTGCATTGGATGTTGGTTAGATAAATGATGTACATTTAGATTACATGGATCTTTTGTTTAGTGGATGCCCAGGCATTGCACATTCCCCTTTAACAAAGTGAAATAACTATGAATACTAATTTGCAGTTGGTGTAGCAGATTGTGGCTCCCAGTTGATTCGTAACGAGCCGTTGTTGTATTGTTGTGTGTGTGTGTGTGTGTGTGTGTGTGTGTGAGACAGACTGCCCCACAGCGAGTCGTGACCAGTAGGGTTCATTAATCATTCATCAAAATCAGAGCACCTGTTATTCCCGCTCTGCTCCACGCAGGGGCAGTGATCCCATGGAGGTGGTAACTATGACAACAGGGAGACGGCGCTGCCTAGGTGACCTAGTTTCAGTGTAGTTCTCCGGTCGGTGTGTGTTTCCTCCCTCGCACGCTCCATTAACTACCTGACTGACCCAGTCTGAGAGTCCCTGGGCCAGAGACACAGACTTTTACTGTTTTATCAATGTCATAATGTCATTATGGCCTTTTCTTTCTTTCTCAGGTCCACCGAAATCCATTGGCTGATGTTGGCGGTCCATTCAGCAAAGATAATATCAAATATTTCTGAGCTGATGTGATGTGTAAAGAGGATTTAATGGAGTCATCCATCATGAAACGAGATCCCATCTAAGTTTGTGAGCTTTTTCATTGAGCAAACAAAGCACCCTGGCTTCTCAACACTAACTCTGATCCCGCCCAAGGTACCACCAGCCCATGTTAAAACCCTGCATATATTTCCTGCCTCTTTAGTGAGGGCTTTCCATCTTACGGCTGAATAGTGTGACACTGAGCTGTGTCCGTGTGAACCTGTGAATGGTGGAGAACCGCCAAAGATCTTAAAATCCCAAAGACTTTACAAGCAGTCATTTCCTGCAGGGCCTGCCAGGCGGCGGAGCTTACTTATTCCCTCACAATTGTTTCTCTTTAGTAAGTAATTGCTTCCTGGTAGGTGAGTGTGTTTGGGATTATTTTTGCACCTCAGGTGCATGTCGACATCTTGCTTCCCGGCTCCATCCAATTGGACTTTTTGTAACTGGCATGTGTCTGTGTGTATGTAGTGGCTTTATAAAAGCCTGCATACCTTGTTTATCTTTTGTTTGGTTTGGTTCCTCCTTCTCAGCTGTCGGGCTGACAGCGGCAGGCACATCGGCTTGTCTGGTCTCCTTCTTCTCTTCGCTCTCCTCCTCCTCCTTCTTCTTCTCCTCAGCTGTTGCTGTGGTGGGACTCTTGGCTGCCGCCGCCGCCGGGGCCTCCACCTCTTTGGGCTTCTCCTCGACTTTCTCCTCCGCCTTTGGCTCCTCTTTCGGGGGCTCGGCGGGCGCCGCGGCGGCAGGAGCAGCGGCCGGGGCGGCCGCCACGGGAGACGCCGCTGCGCCTACAGGAGAGGCCGCGGCAGCTGCCGGAGAGTTGGCCGGCTTGTCTGCCACGGGGCTTTTGGCTTGGCTCGTCTCCTCCTCCTTCTTGGCCTTCTCTCCCGCAGCTTCCTCCCCCTTCGCGGGTGCCTCGTCTCCCTCCGCTTTCTTAGCCTCCTCCCCTCCGTCTGTCGCCTCCTCTGCAGCAGCAGGACTATCTCCCTCCTTCTCTTCATCTCCGTCTTTCATCTTTTTCCGAGTTATGTGTCCACGGAAGCTGGCCTGTATTTTCGTGGCAGCCTTGTGGGCCTTGTCCTCGGGTTTGTTGGTGGTGCCATCCTGTTCAATCTTCTGGTCCGCATCCTCATTCTTCTCCACCTGGTAGTCAGAAGAGAGTACCGCAAGTTACCATCAACTGTAGGCCACCCAGCGGGGCCACTGGAAACCAATGAAGGGAAAGTAGCGGCTGCTACGCTAAAGGTTTGCAAGGCATCCCTCGCTGTGGGGATGCGTCCCAAAGTGTCATGCTGGTAAAGAGAAACAATTTTGCAATAAATTCAATGGACAGAAGAGGACAGAAGTATATGACACAGGGTTTATTAGTTATGGTGGTTTATGTACTGCTATTCATTACTGGAGAATTTTAGATTTGGGGAAAGTTGGGTCAGGGTTTGAGGGCTGGTTTAGAATTGAGTAAAAGTACAGGACAGGATGAGGAAAAGAGTTTACAGGAGAGTGCACAACGTAATATTGAAAGGGGTTCCATGCGTTTACCTTCTGTAACTGGGTCCATAGCTGTCCATCAAATAGTGGGTTGTGCTATGAGTCATATAAATCTAATGAAAAGAAATCAAATGAAATAAAGAAATGAATGATGGGCACTGAAAGTGGCAAACAAAATGAATCAGTACATTCAAAATGAACAGGCAAACAAATCAAGGTAAACTGTTCTCAAGCTCCAAAGCGCAAGCAATCAAAAGCTTAAAATGTGCACCAAAAAATTAATATGAATAAGCAACATGAAGCAAACATAAACTGGCAAAGACCATGCAGGCAGTGCACCATCCCTTAGCCAAATGATGAGGATGTGAAAACAGTGGAATCTGTGTTTTTGTCCTTCCGGGGGGCTTCGTCTGGATCCTCGGGTTTATTTGACAACAGAATGGATTTCATGTGCAAGAAAGAGGTGATTTAGTGTCATTGTGAACAAGGAGAAAACCAGATGTGTGTGAAGATTGTCTCCCTGTTAGATACACTGAAGGACTAAGACGTTATTGGAGGGAAATAAAGCAGATATTGTCCTCTTGATAATAGCGCTTAAATGGACTCAGTCAATAATTAAACTTACATTAATAAATTCTCCACGGCATTCATAAATGTCTCCTGTACTCGCCCGCTAATTATATCTTCAGAATAAAAAATGTCCCCTCCTCCTTCCAAATAAGGAGCCGTGCCTCTGTCCTCTCGGTACAGGAGCTTTTCTATCGCTCCGTCTCTGGCTGCTAGGGAACGAGCTGCCTGCTAGAATCTCCTCAGCATTCCGTCCCGTGCCCCTCCCAACCATCAAAGGTTGCCCTGGCAACCCGAGTGCAAACTCATCACAGCGCTGTCTGCCGGTTGGTGCTAGGAAAGACTTTATGTCACCCTGATTGGCAGTGCACCTGACCCCTCGGGGCAGCAGCTCGTAAATCGAAGGCGGGGCATTCGGCGCGGCCGGGGAGGGGGTTTGTGTGCGATGCAGCGGGAGGATGGGGGGAGGCGCGGGGGGCGGGGGGTTACGTGTGCGTCAATGCCGGTGGTCTACGTTCACTCCTTTAATTGAGTCGGAGCGGTCTTCGAGACGCGGCTCGGCTGCCACGTCTCCCGGTACCCGCCCTGCTCTGATGGTGTCATTGTTATGGGACGCGAGGTTCGTCTTGGGCGGACGCCTGATTTAGGAGGCAGAGGCCCTGAGCCAACATGTCTTTTTCAGGGTCGCCGTGTCAGTCCAATATTGGAGCGGAGGCCAAGGTGCAGCAGCGTCGGTGGGTTCACCTCCTCCACCTCTATTCACGTGTCCCCAGGGTCTGGGGGTGTAAATCCTGCCCCGGGCCTTGCTGCACTTTTTTAATAGCGTCCCCATCTTCCTGAAGCAATTTTGTGCAATGTGATAGTAAAAAAAAAAAAATGAAAAAATCAATCTGATACTGCTGCCCGGGGGCTTTGCACCGCGCCTCAAATACACTGATTTATGTTTAAAGAATAACTTAGCGGTCCGGGAATAAACTTTTGCAAGTGGCCCGCTGTCAGAACGGACTACTTGGAGATCGACGAAGCATCATCGGTACGTCCTTCCAACCGTGCTCTTAATGATATGCAGGCCTCTGGTGTCTTATTGGGCTTTTACTTTAACTGATCTCATGGGTACTTAAAATTGCCCCCCCCCCCCCCAAAAAAAATGGCCTGAGCACTTAACGCTAAATAGAATTACTTCCTGGCTGCAAACAGTGAGTCAGACAGAGAGCGATGGATGAGGGTGTCTGGGAATTGGGGGGGAATGACATCATTGTTGGAGTATATCATCCACTTTAGAGATTTGGGTGTGAGTGCAAATGTAATAAAATGTAGAGTAACTGGTGATCTCATATCAGGATGACGACTTGGGGAAGAAAGATCACCATCGCAGTTTTACCACAATTACAGCATCACCGTTTGACTTACTGATGTGCGTCTGCGTGCATCACCCTTCAGAAGTGCTGTGCCGTGACTTTCTGACTCACGTGGTCCGGGTTCAAATCAGACTGTTAAGTGAACCCCGGTCACGTCAACCCGACCGCGGGCGTCTGTGCGGCACACATTTTCATTCATAAATGCAGAGAAGCACAAGGTAAACTCCCTTCGAGTCGCCCCACCGCAGTTCAAACACTTACTTTGTTAATCTGCGGCGAGGGAACTTATTTGCTTTGTGAGGTTAATCAAATATTTTATTAAAATTAGCTTGCAGTTTTTCCACCCTCCCCTCCAAAAAAAGGGGTCTTTCTGGTTGCCATGGATACACTGTGTTACCCGCTTTGAACTGTTTTTATTATACAGCAAAAAGCCGGATGTTTAAAACATGAGCGCAATTTTCCTCCATGATTGTAAAACAGATTATGCAATTACAGAAGTATAATGTAGCTACATGAAAAGCCCGCTGCACGCCACGCCGCCATATGTAGGTGACAAATAGCTTCATGTTGAGAGTAGCTCGCCGCTAAATGTCTCCACAAACAGGACAAAGGCCTTTGCCTTTCCCGCCCCCCGCTAATAAAACGGATAAATAGTGTGATTTGGGCTCCATCAGAAGGCCGGATGTGTCTACTAGAGCAGCCTGCACGCCGTCCCCGTCTGTCCCCGTCCCTGGGTGGGCATCGGCTGCCGTGAGAAACCACACCCGAGAGTCAATGGCTCATCCGGCGGATCCATGACCACGCGTACGCGCACACACACACACACACACACACACCATCCCCCATCGGTGACACGCGGTAACAATCCGCAGGGACTTGTTTCCGGAGGGGGGGGGGGGGGGCGGTACAGAAAGGGGAAAGACACGTTGGAGCGGTGGGTTTGTGAGGGTTGAATTATCACAGAACCACTGCTCACGCTAATGCACACAACACGCCATCAGGGTGGGTTTTTATTTTTATTCCGGCGCCTCCCTTTCCATCTCGCCGCTCTGCTCAGCTTTGGATCGGTCGCTTGCCAGAAGGGAGATAAATGTCACAGGTGATGTGTGCATTGATAATGATGGAACCCAACAGGTCCGCCAGCTGAATTTCTCCATCCAAGTCACTTTTGTGATTACTGAAGCTTTATTATAAACTACCATCTTCACACCAAACGTTGCACCTATAAAACGCATCGTCTGATTCAAATGAAAATGAACAACCCATGAAACGGCGACTCCCCGTCGGGCGCGAGCTCGCGTTGGGCGCACGCAGACTTTCTGCAGTGACAGCTCGCTCCTGCAGAAACCCCCCCGGCGGGCACTTCAATGGCCGCCTGCTTTCCCGCAGGAAGCAGCCAGACACCAAAGAGCCGAGACGAGCTGCTGTCTCCGGTATCTGCATCTCCTCCTTTCGGTCTCTGCCATCTTCCACTTGTTCTCTCTCTCTCTCTCACTCTCACTGCGCGAACTGCCACCCACTCATTCTCTCTCTCTCTCTCTCTCTCACACGGAGACGGAGCACCACACCCTTTTAGGCAGCTATCTTCTGCAGATGAGGAGAGGGGGGCTCAGGTGGTGACTGCCACAGCCCCCACTCGCTCGCTCTCTCTCTCTCTGTCTAAAGGAGGTACTGAGGTTTTTTTTTTCTCTGTTAATGCTGGCGTCCATACGTTCGCGTCATTTCATCCTCCCGGAGCAGCCTTTGATTCAATTACACCGCCTGAACAAAGGCCCCACTATCGCCACTGATCTCCCAGGGGCTGAGGATGGGGGAAGGGGGAGGGGGGGCAGTGAGGGGATGTGGGGAGGAAAGGAGCCACAGGGCAGAAATGGAAATATTGGCTGTTAATTGTGCTTTGGGGGAAGGTACTTTCTTGGTTTCGAACTCTTACTGTTTAGGCGCGAGGTCAAGGTGGGAGTGGGACGGGCCTCGGTGACGGGGGGAGGACTAGGGATGGAGCCGAGGAGGAGGTGGAGGAGGGTGGGATTTGAGTTTTGGTGGGTCTAACGGTGGAGAAGGAGTTGAAGATGAAGACCCTGGCAGAAGTCGGTCAAAGGAACCGTCTCCTAGACCTGAGGTGCTAGTAGCCACTCCCATCGCGGAGACATCACCACGCCGCTGCATTCAAAGCGCCAAACAGGCTCTTTGCTCCTCGCCCACCCACCCGTGAAAGACCTCGGAGCCCGTCTGCATCCAACCAAGCCTCCGCTCCTCAAAAGCAGGCGGCAAGAAGATGACTGCTTCTTTTTTTTTTTTTTTTTCCTCCTCCCCTGTGTGCGAGCTGGAGGCAGCGCCGGGCGCCTCACCCACATGGCTGCAGTGTGCCGGGCTGCCTTTCTTTTGATCCCCCACCACCTCACCCCACCCCCTTTGCGCCTGCTCACCTCCTCCAACCGTGCATCACCGCCGCCACCACCACCTTTCCTGCCGGTGGTCGCCAGCATCCAGTTCCCTCCCTGCCTCTCCCTACCTTCCCCCACACCTTGAAGCCTCCCTCCCTGTCTCAGCCTTTTGCTTTTTTCACCTCCACCCCCCCCCCCCCCCCCTCTCTTCCTCCCCCAGCCACCCCCTCCCTCCATCTACCTCCATGTGCACCGGCTACACTCCACCCCGCCGCATGTTCTCCTTCTGCCTCTCTGCATCCCGCATGTCTTCTAACCGGCGAGTCTCTCTCTCTCTCTCCCCCTCTCTCCCTCCCTCCCTCTCTGTCTGTCTCTCTCGTCCGTGCCAGTTATTACAACTCGCCCCGGATAACATTTAAGAAGCAATCAAGTGGCATCAGAACCCATCGTGTTAGGAGCCCGATAACGTCTCAGTCGGTGGGAGATGGCGGCAGGAACCGAACCGCCGTGATGGCTGGAAAGAAGCACGGGGGGGTTGAACCGTCTGTCCGGACCCGCCCGCCTCCTCTTATCCTAAACCACCCAAAACCTCACAGTGCCGTCAACTGGCTGCGTGCACTTATACGACTGGAGGTGCTGTGATAATCCATTTAGTCTCATTTGTTCACGTCGTGGTCCCCCGAGGCCCCTGACGCGACGCTGCCCCGCCCCACCCTTTTTTTTTCCCCTCTCTGTGGAAATTGGAAAGTGGAAAATTTCCTTGTGTTTGCCCGATTCTGCTCAAGTAACAAGTACAAAAAGACACTGAGACCCTGAGACACACTGAGAGATGTGAATCCTCTTTACAATGGATACGAGTTCAAACCCAGGGAGGCTTTTCAGAGACACGATACAATAATCTACCTAAGTGCCTTCCTTTAAATCTGTCACTTTTTCAAGTGCGTGATCAATACCAGGGGACGCCGGGTCGCCCCAAGGATCGAGCTACAGTCTGGTGCCGCGAGGCAACTGTGGCAACATCCATTCATGCGGGGTAATCACATTGGCGAGGCGTGTCCGGGCTCCGTGCACCGACTCCTGTAGAGGGCCATCGAGGGCCCCCCCCCCCCCCCCCGAGTCAAAGCAAAATGACACCCACGTTTCCTCTAATCTCTCCTCCGGCACGAGGTTCACAGCTGAATGCATCATTTTGTCGCCCCGAATGAGACGCAGATATTGATGAGGGAAATGAGAGCAGTTTACCGGGTTGGTTCTTCTTATGCAGCACAGCATAGTTGTAGTTGGTGGATCCTGGCTTCTTCTTCTCTGCTTCTTTCTTCCCTTTTGCCTCCCTTTCACTTCTTCTCTCTCGGCCTCTCTCTCTCTCTCTCTTGCTTGCGTGCGCTCTCTCGTGGACACACACTCCCTTCTTCTCTCTCTCTCTCTCTCTGGGTGGATACACAGCTAAGACGCCCGGTGCATTTTATCAATCTAGTTTCACACACACGCTCTTCAGTCAGGTCGTCTGGGCACACCTCTCTCTCTCTCTCTCTCTCTCTCTCTCTCTCCCCCCCTGACAATGACTACAAGCCCACCCTTTAAACCCCTCCCTTCGCCTCTCTCCTCCCCTCTTCTCTTCACACTATCCCCCTCGTAGTGATAAAGTGCACCCCCCCCCCCCCCCTCCACCACCTCCCTCTTTCAGATCAGCAGTCCTCTCTTCCACATCTTCCCACCCTCCTCCTCCTCCTCCTCTTCCTCTCCTTCAGCCTGGTTCCAGCGAAAGCTGCGGCCCCACCCTAAAAAAAAAAAAAGGCTCCTGCTTAATGACTGACTGGATGCCTTCAGATTCCCTCTGCTACGCCTTCATTTGTGCGGCCCTGTGTTTGGCTGTCACACGTCTTATTCCCTCTTCACCAAAGCCTGAGGACGTTCCTCTCGCGCTGCGTGTTCTGCTCTCTCTGACCGGCGGCGGGGGGGGGGGGGGGGGGGGGGCGTGGGGCTCTGGGTACAAATTGCCATGGCGATGCCAAAGGCATGTATCCTGGCACGGCCTGCAGGAAGTCGTGCCAGGAAAGACGTGTGAAAGAGAGCAGTGATGATCGCACACAGACACACACACACACACACACACACACAGACGGTGCTCTTAGGACACGCCACCTCCCCACCCCCCCTCCCCTCCTTTCATACCCAGTGCGCTCTGTTCTCATGGAAACACCAGCAGATAGACCAGCAGAGCAGAGAAGGAGGAGGAAAGAGAGAGAAAGATGGAGAGAGACATGGAAGGAGGGAGGGAGAGAGAGAGGGATGAGAGTAGGAGGAGGAAGAAAGCGGTCCGGGTGTGGCAACACCGACTCTTTCCTTCTCCCTCCCCCTTTTATTTTTCTCCCTCTGTGCCCACAGTGTGTTTTAATGAGCGCGCATTAGAAGCATTACCGTACAGTGAGGCTGGCAGGCACATGCTCATGCAAACACCCACACTCTGTATTTGTATTTCATGACGCACACACACACACACACACACACACACACACACACAGCAGTGACAGAAAAGTCCCCCGCCCCCCCGCTCTGACACTGGCGAGCCCCAGCAGATGCTACAGACACAACGAGGATGGACGGAGGATACAGGAGGAGAGACAAGGGAGAGGGACGGATGGATGGAGGAGGAGGGGAGGGGAGGGGAGGGGGTGAGGGGGGGTTCTTAGGTGTTGTGCTGCACGCCATTCTTCCCTCTTACAGGATTATTCCACATCCCCGTTCATCATCAAGCGGCCCTCCCGGTGGTCGCTGCAGGAGGATGCAGCTCCTTCGTCAGGCAGGTCTGCTCCCCTCCACTGGAACCCGGCGAGGCACGTTCATTCAGCCGGCAGCTCAGAGAAGCGCCTGAAAACGTGTTAAAAACACGCTGATGAGAGGGAAGACTATGAGGATGAAATGCCACGGCCTTAATAAATCACCAGACATGGAAGGATTTTACAATTTACTGATTAGTGGAGGCAACAATTGTATCTATTTCTCTATTTAGTCTTTTTTTAAGGAAATTAAAAGCCAAAGGCTACTGCTTCACACATGGGATTATTTATCATCTTATATTATATTTATTTAAAAATCAAATAATTGAAACGTGACATCTTGAGCCCTGGTTTTAACCCCGGCTACTTTCACCATTTCTTAAGGGACTTAAGGGACGTGGGTGTTTAATAAGACGCTTCATGTTTGCCCTTCATCTGCATAGAACTATGTTTTGTTCTGGTCTAGTTTATTTAGTTCACCCAAAAGGTATTTGCTTCATTTCAACCAATTATATTGCGGCGTACAGCAGCACAATCATATACCCGCAAATGGAGGAAAGGTCTTAGCATTCCGGTCATTTGATGGTTCTGTTAACCTGCTGACCACAGGGATCGATGATGTCACAGCGGCATCGAGGAGCAGCCAGGACGAAGGTTCTGGCTTCACTCCAGTGACGAGATGTCAATTCCAGTGATTACGGCCCTCGTTTATTATTCAAAGCGAGTTCTTAAAGACGGTTGACGTCATCAACTGAGCCCAGGTTTGTTTCTGCCTGCGTCCTATGAGGAGGAGGAGGGTAGTTTCTGTAAACTATTTGTATTTAAATAAAGCACAGTGTAAGTGTTGTGCAACGAGCATTGCAGCCTCGACCAGCGTGTCTCTTAACGGTAAACAAAGTACAGTCAACATCCTGCAGCTAATGTCCCGAAAGGTCACATTACTCATTTTGTTGGGTTTTTTTTTTAGACCCTGTTTATTAAATGTGAGCCTCGCTCAGCGTACCTTTGAATAGGAACGGTTGTTTGTAGCGTTGCACACCATTGGTAGTCTGTCCTTTTAAAGCGACAGTGACGAAGTTGCTCAATTGCAGCGTGAAAGGTCGCCGCGTCCGGGAAACAAGATGAGATTTACACGCAATCTAATAACTGCAAATTATCTTGAACTATTAGAGGAGGGTCTAAAGAAGAAACGTAGCATGGCCAACATTGTGTCAGGAAGACGTGGGAAAGTGGTGGTTAGGATTGTATCCAGATAGAAGACGACGTGTGAGGTAATAACGCAAACATCTGTCCTACAAACATGCAGAAAGCTTTTTCAACGAGTCAAAAGCTAACGTGGGATCTTCAACCTGCAATAAGTCGTCTTTTCAGTCTGTGCAAATAATTGAGGGAAGATCGAAGGAATCCAACACGGCTCTGCTGTATCTGACGTGAAATATTACCCATCCAAGTTGTAAAAGAGCTCATTAGCGCAAAGATCAAACCGAAAAACATGTGAAAGAGGAAGGAAAATGTAACATATTACGTAATTAGCAGTTTCTAAAACGTAAAGGTCGCGATTGTTTCTACGAGAGGCTGTTTTCCCCTCAACGCTGGTATTACCACAGCGTGATACATGATTATATTATGGCTAAACACCAATGACATTTGGACCAAACAATGAATGGAAGCTGCTAAACTGTCACGTTTGATTCACTGCAGAGTAGATTTTCTTCAGCCTCGTTGGGGACGAACAGCAACTTTAAATCCTCCAGCAGCTTTTTATTGAGGCTAAAGTGAAGCCCGAGGTCTCTGGGTCAAGTCCTCCGTCTCCTCCGGCTTGTTCCATACGCTGTTCGACACAAACGTCGGATATTTAGGAAAAGAACCAACATGATGAGCAAGTATTTGACTGCCTACATTATTAAAGGTAGACTAAGAGAGTAAAACATATTAACCGAGTCATCGGGCAGCAGACAACTTGGTAATTAGTTCCAAAGTATTTAGCTTTGGACCATAAGTCCATACGATGACGCAAAGTACCATAAATGAATGATAAATGTCAATCAAGCAGAATGCACGATGTCAATCTCTCGAGTGCATCAGGGTTCGACCATGTTTTGAACATTTAGTTTGGTCACAAAGGTCTTTCCTGAGACGGCAAGAGGACAATGACCCAGAGGACAGAAACCAGGTTTCGCCACCAGCAGTGATGAGATAAAAAAAATTGAACCAGATGTCCCAGAAATAAGAAACCTACATTCAGCACGATGAATCCGAATGAGCCGCCTCCTGCATCCAAGCCGTCATCCGCATGTTCTTCTTCCCCCCCCCCCGGCTGACATGAGTAAGCCGTTGCCATGGTAGTTCAGATGAAGCAGGAATCATAATGGTTTTCGCCATAGCAGTGTGTGAATTATTGAAACCCAGAGGGCATGAATGGAGCTCGATGAGAATCAGGAGAGGAATGAGACAGAACGAGGACTCGTCGTCCAACTGTGTGATTCGTTTGAGGGTTTTTATTGGTTTTCTTTCATGTCTCGAGAGCGCAGCGACTGCGCGGACAAAGCAGATGCTGCCGCAATTGTGAGCGAAGCTCCGAGACTCCGGCCCGTCCCGATGAGTTTCAAGGGAATATTCAAGAGCGTTCATGAATAGTGCAAAATACCGAACAGAGAGAGCGAGCAGGGGAGAAAAGGGTGGCAACGTGCTACACGCTTTGCTCACACAGGTGCAAAGAATCTTTATTAACTCATTATGAAAAAATTCCTATATGTACAACATATGGCATAAAACTAAACTAAACCATTGGTTTTCTGTCCAAAATAATACGAATATATATATCTAACAGAAATGTTCCACTGCGACTCAACAGAAGGCATCGGCCATTTTTCACCATGACACAGGCAATAAATTAAGACAAAAACTCATCCACCTCCTTTACAAGCAAGTGACAGATACAAATCCTCAGGATATAAAAGCACACATTGCGCTCATCTGTGTGTTTGTTTGCATGCGGAGGCTCAGCTTACCTGTACAGAGTAAACCGATAATATCTCATCAAGACTACAAGCTGTAAAAATGTAGGAATTAAGACCTCTGGCTCGGCCTAGAAAATGTAGAAGCTGCTCGTCAAGAGGGGTTTTAAATGATTCGCATAACGTTTAGTGTGAATTTAATGCTGGAGATGCATCATTTCCAAGTTGTTCTTCCAAAAGAGATCCGCCCCAGAAGTAACCACCGCCAAGGTGTCTGGGGAAGTGGCAAAGGCGACACCCGGTACCTCCCACTTGTGAGGCTCCGTGTGCAGTTACGGCTCCCGACCAGCAGGGGGCCTCTAGCACTGAGACTCGGCGTACCCCTCATCCGCAGGAGGCCTCTTTTTCAGGTCGTAATACCCGTCTTCGTCCGCCGTGTCCTGGACAGACCAGAAAACCCGGGAGCGTGTCACAACACACACACACACACACACACAAATAGCCACAAAACAACTACATGGGAAAAATCTATACGTTATAAGCCCTCAAGTAAAATGAGACGTGAAATGGATCCGGCAGACGCGTCTTATTAACGTCGTTTGTGGGTTGGTGAACTGTACCATCATATAGAGGTCACAGCACGCGGCCCTCCTCGCTTTGGCCCCCGCTGGGTAGACGCCATACTCCTCTCTGTTGGACGCAGAGCGGACAGAAAAGCCGGGTTAGCGATGGCGATAGTCACACTCACAGATGCCCCGTTTCATTGTGACACTTTGTACACACTCTGTATTCCCGTCAGTGTTATTGATGCCATCGGTTAAACATGCATTATAGAGCAGCGCTGCTTTGTTTAACATTTACATTCTGGATTCGGCGTCAGTCAAATGAGCGAATAACAGCTCCCGTGTGACTTCAAACCATCAGGAGGAACTGCTGCACTAAAAAAGAACACGCCTGTAAATCAGCTAACTGCAGATTTTAAGTACCTGACTACTCGCTGATTCACAGCGCCTTCCACGGCCTCAAACTCTAAACCTAAATGATTGTTTAACCATTATGGAATTAGCAGTGGGGACGCACATTTGTAACCATCAAAGCCCACCAGGACCGTCATTGCCCCCCAGGAGACCCACGGCGGCGACTGGTTGGATGAACCTACTCACCCCTCTGTGACCTCTATGGGCGACCTGCAGGCCTTCGATTGGTCGTGCCGCTTCTTGGGACAGAGCATCCGTCCAATCAGAATGAAGGTGATGATAGTGGAGGGGAGAAGGACGAACGCCAGGAGGACCGCCACGTCGGAGAAGCGGACGCTGGCCACTGGGGGAGCAGGTCGTGGGGGTCATCAGGAGCACTTTAACGAGCCGTTTGTGCGGCGTGCTCACTAACACACGCGGTCATACGTGCACGCCGCATACTGCACATACGTGACAGGCCGACGCAGACACCAAACATGATCGGATTCGGCTGCCGTCTAAATGTATGAGGCCTTCAAGCTCTCAGGGGGGGGAAAAAAGCCAAATACAACCCTGACCCTTAAAGTAAAATCCACATTCCAAACGTCCGAGGTCGAATCCTGCCGGCGTGCGCGTGCACCGCCTTACCTCTGGGCGTGACAGTGAGCACCGTGTGCGAGGTGGGCGACCCGTGCACGTCGGGCGGGTTCCTGACGGAGCAGGTGTAGGTCCCGTTATCGCTCAGCGTGGCGTTGACCAGGGCGATGGACGCGTCCCCGCGGGCCGGGACGCCCCGCCACTGGATGCGACCCTGGAACTGACCTCCGATGGGAGGTAAGGCCCGAGACGAGAAGTGGAAGAGCTGGGGGAGGGGAGCAGAGGAGCGCGTTTAGTTTGCATGAATTATAAAAAAGGACAGAAAGAACAGCCGGTGATGTTTGCCGCACTTCCGTTCCCCTCAGACACAAACGGCGGTCTCATCTGGGAAAGCGTCCCCGACCAAACCGCATCTCGATGATCCGTCATCTCCTCCTGAGCGCATTGCAACGAGAGTCATCATCGCTCCCGAGTCGAGCTCCCGATTTTCCCGCCGAAGGGAACGAGTCTGAGCAACAGGCGGCGGGACAGATGGCGGTGGGACATTCTCTTCTGGCGATGCTGATGAGAGCCGAGCGAAGAGCGCTGCCTGCTCGGTTCGGAGGAACATTAATTAAATCCCCAATGAAGCACCGCATTTTTGATGGAAAACATCTCGCGGTTCCTCCCACATGGTGACATTCTAAGCATTGCGGCGTGTGTGCGTGTGTGTGCGTGTGTGTAGGATGGGGAATGGGAATGTGTAGTAGATTTACTACAGTAGTAGATGCTCAGGGTGTAGCTTGTGGTTAAAGGTTTTCTGACGCTCTGGTTGTTCGTCAGTAAGCAGAGACACGAATAGGAAACGGACAAGTGATCCCGTAAATATGAAAAAGGAACAATACGCTTTCATCTTTTCTCCATCGTGCACATATTGTTTGCTGCATTACGTCTCGCGTTTTACTGACCCAGCAGCGCTAATGCATTTGTAAATGGAATGAATGCAAAGACAAACGGATAAAATAAAAAAGGTCAAAACTTGGTGCAGGACTAGAACAGAAATTCTTCTGCTGTACGTTGAAGGTCATCGTGCCGCGTCTCTGTCCGTGATGATAATGTGTGGGGGAGGCTTTTCTGGGGAAGCAGGAAGGGAGCGGTCAGTGCTGCTGGTTTGTGGAATTTCTCGCCAGCCCGTTTAGGATCTTGTGCCGGTAGCCGTGTTTCTAGCTCGCTCTTGCTGACGAGTACAGGACAAATAGTAACGTACAGCGGACGGCCGGTCATTAATCTTCTCACCACGTCTCGTACCGAGCTGGCCCGAGTCAGACAAATGGATTTTTTTAAGTATTTGATGAAATCAAAAGCTGCTGCAGAAAGGAATTATCGATTTCCTCTAAAAACACTAAACACTTTTCACAGCACAGTCGTAGGGCCCCGTTTGTTTAAACTTCGATTCGTCGTCTTTTGGTCACTAAAGCGGACGGGTATATTTTTTTTATCCTTATATTTGGGAAGGTGGTCCTCGAAAAGAATTAAAGTTAACGGCAAGAAGGGCCTTATTTTGAAAAAGGTTTCTCATAAATGTGACACTCTGGTAATCGGTGCAAGTCTCACACGTACAAAACGAGAGTTACGATGCATCGGTCTGATATTTGGGGTTATTCTGCAGCGGTTCCGGTGTCGTTCGCGCCTCTCGAACCCGATGCTGCGGGTTCATCAACACGTTCGCCCCGCCGCCTGCAGGATTTCACGCAGCACGGATCAGCTTACGTGCAGACAGATTCTCCGATATCGCTGCTTTGTGGCCTTTTGTTAACACAAGCTCACAGGAAGGCTAAAGCAAACACGCCAGACGCTGACAAGAGTTTTACGGCTTTGCGTGGAGACTAATCTTAGGCCCGGCTGATCATTGGACCCACACGAGAGCGTAAGTCCCTGAAAACGTGAGAGACGGGAAACATTTTAGACCCAAGGATCCCTTTAAAGTCAAGAGAAGACGGTTCTCAGCCTTCTACAACTCTATGTGACGATTGAGACAGAAGCCTCCAATGACTCAGCACTTTTCAATGATCTTATTAAACCACATTCCGAAAAGTTGAAATCGCCCACATCTCTGACTGAACATTCAGTGCCTCTGCTGCGATCTGAAAAAATAAAATATATATATATAACGAAGATTCTCTTCGGGGCTGAGGTGATTATGCAAAGTCACTGAAGCACTGCAGCAATTCAGATTGACACTAAAGCTTTGGCAGCAAAACCAGATTTTTTTCCTGCCGGCGCTTTTCTCACATGCTTATTCCCGGTGTGATATACGACTGGGCGCACGCGGCCCAATCAAGCCGGTTGATGAAATTGGATGGAAAGTAAATGAAGGCTGAGAAATAGAAAATGAAAAACCTCCATAGCACGGGCCCGTCAGCAAACTGCCACAACACGCATTTCGCTCGTGATGGAAGAGAACCGACTGGTCGAAGCCCGAGGGACTTTTTCCACGCCGCTCCTTCTTTAACTAGCAACCTGCTTTGTGCAGTGATGCCAGGGGATCTGCTGACACACACTCGGAACAGCCACACAATCCCAACCAGGTCCTTCTCCTCCTCCTCCTCCTCCTCCTCCTCATCCTCGCTCTTCACGCAGAGCTGCTGCTGCATCTTAACGACTAAACCAACAGCACTCCATAACGGCGCAGCCACAAAACATTAGCCTCCACTTAACTCTGAGTGCTCCTGTAGGAAATGATCGCGTATGAGGTTGCAGCTACCGCGCTGCGGATTCCCATGGTCCAAAATGCAATTACAGACCGCCGCGCCCGATGCTTATCTTTCGAGTACAAATGGAACTTCTCGAATGATGCGGTGGTTCGGTCGCTGAAACCGAAGCCGCGGCGTGCGGGGGTCAGAGGGCTGAGTGCCGCCGCGGGTCGAGATGGAAACATCCCGAACGCACTTTGAACAAGACCGCCGGATCACCGCGGAGAGGGAGAGGGGCATCGTGGGAGCTGAGGGAGGGGGGGGTTGAGTGGCCTCCGGAAGGGGCAAACAGGCGGGACGCTACCTGATGGTGATGGTGATGAATGGCGCTCACTGGTTGGAGCAGCGAGTGGCCGGACTTTGCTTCAGGGAATCAAGGGTCAGATCGACGGAGAACGCAAATAAAAAAGCGGGATAGTCGAATGATTTGTGTTTGCACAGAGAGTGTCACAAATCTAAATAACTAATACAATTTAACCCTAATGGGGATCAGTGATCGTTTTAATTGCTAAATATGAAGGGGGGGGGCGGGGTTAGGGGGTATACTCATATTTCTAATATATATATTGCACCGTTGCCCTGAGAAAGCGTCTACTCACCGAGCCCGGAGTCCCTCCGCTCTGCGGCCTGTAGGACCAGTCGACCCTCATCTTGCTGGTCGGCGTGCTGGTGGAGGTGAAAGTGCAGGACAGCGTGACGGTGTCCCCTTTGGACGCGTGGAGCTCTGCCGGGGTATTCACTGAGATGGAGGAGACCAGGGAAGGCGCTGGAGGAGGAGAAGGGGGGGCAGTGAGTGACATTTTACTCTGTTGCAGGAGGCCGACAATAGAACAAAAGTGTCGGCACAGCGAATTCCTCACGCGGGTTTTCTCGCCACCGCGGCTGCTTATCACCTGGTGACTAATGCCGAAGGCGGCCGGCCGATTTACCCCTGAAGGTGGCGCGCGGGAACAAGAGCTGAAGGCAGCTTCTTTTGAGGAAGACCTCCATGTTCTAGAGAAGCAGGCGGTCATTGTGAAGAGCCTTTTCTTAACAAATACTTCGGTGACAAAACAGGGCAGCTGGTGTGGGACAACGTGTCCACACCAGCTGACAAAGACGTATTCAACCCCCCCCTCCCCCCCTTCTACTGTGTACCAATCCAACTAGCAGATATCAGGCTGTGTGACTGAATAAAGGGAAGCTGTGGACTGCTGCTCGCGCTGGAGGAACCAAAGTCGTTAGAATTCCTCGCTTGACGTCTACAGCACGTTTTCTAGCGATCCAGTCAATATGAGACGATATTTGTATGGACGGACCAAAGGCTTCAAATTAAAAAAAGTACGCTGTTGGGCATAAAATAAAACACTCCTCCACTTTCAAAGCCAAAGCCTCACACCTCCTTTTCTTCCTCCGAGGATGACGCAATCATCACTTCCGAGAAGATCTCAGACCGGCAGCACGTTCCTCCATCGGACGGCAAAAGACGTTAAAGACGTCTGTCCGTCCGGCCCGGCTCATCTATCAAGGAGCCCGGGCCGAGCGACTCGACGGCGTCAACGAAGCCGCCTCTAGGAGGAGAGAAGAACAAAGCCAAGAGGCCTCCAGAGACGGAAAAACGCCCCTCTTGAACTTCTTGTTCAAGACCTGATTGCGTCAACCGATTAATTAGTGGCGAGACGTCGAAGGTGACGGCTCTAGTTTCCCCCGAGACGTCTGGGAGACGAGGAGGGAAGAACGTTTATGGAGCGGTGAGAAGGAAGGTGTTGGAATGCTCCTGACACCGTCCCGGAGGTCTTGACCCCGGGGAGGGGGAAAGGCTCACGTCTTTTATACGCTGGCACACAATGTTCAGAGACGCGTTTGTGCGATCGGACAAAAAGGCTCATAACCGGCTGCACACAGAGTGGAGTCCCCTTAGAGGACAGCAGTGTTTACACGGGCTGTTTGGACTTGAACACATTCCAATCATTAGTCGACCAAATGTGTAGGACTTTGTCCGTGAGGGGTTTGGAGTTATAAGCACTGTAATTATGACAATTGATGATATATTATGACAATTGTGGTTCTTTTTTTTGAGGGTCAAGAGGGTCAAAAAATGCTTTTTGTAAATCATTTTGCTCTTTTTATTCAAAAAGGAGACGTGTTTATAAGCATGATATGTTCCGAATGCTTAACTTAACGGTGTTTACTGACGTTATATCCTCGTGAGAAGTCCGTAGCATTTCGTGCGCGCACACCTGTTAGCATCGGCCTCAAGCGCAGGTAAGCGACCGTCGGGACCGCGCTGCCCTCCCGGCGCGTTCGGACCCGCGGGAGAGCCGCCGGTTCCTCCCGGGACGAAGCTCCGGTCGGAACCTCAGCGAGGTGACGGCCCGGTTTAGTTTGTTTGTTTGTTTGTTTGTTTTTGTTGTTACTCACCGAACAGAGCCAGCAGGAGCGGCCACACGGTCACCTGACGCGGTCCGCGCATTTCAATATGTGGAAACGAGTTCACGCGCATGAAAAAAAATAAATACCCCCCCCTCCCTCCCTCCCTCCACCCCGCCACCCCCCAAAAAACGAAACAATGTCACTAAAAGAAGCACAAGTTGCGTCAAATCGTCGGGGAGATTCCGTTCATTCTCTGTCCGGCCGTGGCTCGCGAGTCTCCGGGGAGCAGGGTGCGCGCGGACCGCCCTACCTGACAAACAGGTGTACCAGGAAGTCCGACCGACCGAAACACGTCATCGCTAAAGAAACACACAACGCTTTGAACTGCTCACACATTTTGAAATGTTACTTGTTGGATGTGTAATTAGGATTCAAATAATAATCATGATAATGCCGTGAATAATAAAAAATAAATATATAAAAAATATTATTGTAATTCTTGTGTTTGTTACTTGTTCGTTAGTGCACTTTATGCTTAATATTTTTCTTTTTAACTTTTTTAATATTTAAAATTTTTAACTTTATTCCCTTGTTTTATACTAACCCATTGCATTAGCATTTCATTTTACTTTATTTTATTACTTGTGCACTGTTGTCTTGTCTGTCTACTGTCGCGCACTAACCGCCAAGACAAATTCCTTGTATGTTTGGCATATTTTGGCAAATAAATGTTTCCTGATTCCCTTTTCTGAAGGGAATCGTTTATGTCGTTGTCGAGGGGATTTAGTTAATCGCGCTGAAGAAAAGGAGGTAGTCGGTTTGCTGTCAATCCAAACAGATTAATTTTTTTAGTTTAGAGCATATGATATACGTCATTATTCTTTATTATAGTACAGCTCAGGTCTTCCTTGTTGCCAGTGTTTTGGTACATTTTGTAAAAAGAAAACACAACCCAAAGTAAATGGTTTACATTTCGTGCCACCTTGTTATTTGCCAGTGACATCCTCATTTCACCCGTTGGGCTCTCCTTGCCCTCATATGACCCCTTCGTGTGGAGGGCCGGGGGCCCCGAGTGCCGGCTTTACCCCTCCAGCCAGCTTCTGCATAAAACCACGGATGCTCCAGCGGGACTCTTTCTATGCATATCGTCTCCGATCTCCGGTCTTTACCGTCGTAATTATCTCCAATGGGAGAAGCCTTTGCTGGTGTGATGTTTTATCTCTGCCCTGCATGTTTATACAGAGTCCTTCTGAAGTTTATTTAGGCCTTTATATGGGCCGGATTGTCGGTTACATCTTTACGTGCATTTTGGTGTGCCAGCAGCGTTTCCTCAAACAGAGAAGCTGTAGTCGTGATTTCCCATCAGAGGATGTTGAATAGAGAGCAGCGTCCTCTGAGTCCTGCTCCCTCAGATGCATTCTGTATAAATCGGATGTGTGCCGTAATCGGATATTGCGTTTGCCGGAACCACAACCTATGTTTTGCGTGCAAGTGCAAAACATAACAGCGAGGCGCCACGAGAAAAAACTACTCTCTAAAGAAATAATAATCCTGTGTACTCTGAAAAAAGCAATTGCAAAAACTAATCTAATGTAGAATGAATGAGTGTGAGGAACATACGTATTATAAAAATTGGAACCTAACTTGATTAAAAATTAAAGAGCAGCCATGCCTCAAGGCTCTTTAGTGAGGGTTGCCATACAATAAATTAAAATGAATGCACAACTAACTTCGAATCAACTGCAATCACTGTGTGGAGTAATTCATGTGAGAAAGCAATCCTGGACGGTGAGTTTCAGGCACAATGAAGATGACGTTTGGCTAAAATGAAGTAAATATTTCCTCACTGTTTTCCTTTGGACAGGGGTCCAGAAATGTCCCCGTAGACAGGTGCATCATTTCTGCCACCTGGCTGCGCATTGTGTTTATCTTCCGGTCCTTGCCAGCTCCAAACCTTTGGCCATTCCTTGCCGATGAGAAGATGCGGGAGAGGGTTTGGTAGAGGATTGCCCCTCCCTGCATCCATTGCCAAGCACGGCGTTCGTATTGCATCTCTTAAGAATATTGTGTAACAGTTCCCGCACAGGGGTGGAGCCACAAAGCCTGTTTCTTGTTCACATTTTTAACAGACTTGCCCGACCCAGGAGCTTTCAGAACTTGTGCAATCCACATGTATTGTGTGCAACTACATTATCCGGTGTAATAGTATGAGATTTCCCATCTTTTGTTTGAAGATAAAGTGGAATGCCTCTTATGGGCGCTTTGGAACACACATCCTTACATTGTGTGTGTGTGTGTGTGTGTGTGTGTGAATACAGTAGAGTGGTCTCAGTTTCAGCAGATATCCTCTCAGTTCCAGCCGGCTGGTTTTCTGGCGACTCTGGTCAACAAGAGGCCTGTTCTTCTGTTGTCAACACCGTCAGCGGACTAATAAAGCTCGTTTAAATGATCGGGGCCAGGCGGTGCACGTAACTATTATCCTGCAAGCCGAAAAAACGTGAGAGCCAGTCCGTCTTTTCATCCTTTTTACGTGCATGTGCTGAGTAGTAGATGAGGTATAATGCAGACTCCTTTCTCAGGGCTGTCACAAACAAGCATAACAGCATAACTCAGCGCTACAGGAGCCCCGGCTCAATTCAGCCAAAAGTAGCTGACTCCCAACCTTCTGATTGAATGGATTAACAACTGCAGTGTTTAAATGCACATCGGGCGGCATGAGTCGATAAAAGTCACAGCGCGACAGTCAGTCGTACAGTCAGTGCGGTGATTTGTCTTCTCTTTCCCGCCGTGCCGAGCCCGCGTGTCACAAGTGAGTGAGTGTGTGTGTGTGTGTGTGTGTGTGTGTGTAAGTATGCGCGCAAGGGATCGAGGGCCTCTCCGCGTTGATGTGCCAGGTACAACCCGTCCAAGAGGGTGGAATGCAGCAAAGGGAAAATAAACGGCAGAGAGATGAAGCAACAGAAGAGAGAGAGAGAGAGAGAGAGAGCAGCAACGTGTGCGTCCTCCTTTCATCAAAACAAAGGCCCGGCGTTTGCGAGAAGCGTTTGTGCGCGTTGCAGTAGTGGACGTACTGTGGCCCGAGAGCGGCTTATTAAATGACTCATCCCATGAGCAGGAGGAGGCGTTGGCAACAACAGCTCACATCTGCCAGCCGACGAGTATTGAGCGATGTCTTTCTTTCCCCCCCCGGACTCGCCCAAACCGGCCTTTTGGTCAAACGGCAGAGAGCGGGACGTCTGCGTGTCGCGTTGCATTCCGGCCTCTTTACCACGCCGTCACTGTGGGGTAACGCGCCAGCAAGGAAAACGTTGTCCCACCACGTGCGCGACATGTTAATCTAGCGTACCGTGTCTGTCGCGTCGTCTCCGTCTCCTAATGAACTCTAATAAACCCGGTTTGATGGTATCAGGTCATCCGGAGACGCCACTGTTGTTAAATCAGTTCATTACGAGCCGCCTTTCTCTACTACAACACGGCATTATTTGTCTTTTTTTTTGTCTGCACGCGCACCACGCAGACAATTTCGCTCTGTCAGTGAGTAACGAAAAGCTACGCCCCGAGGGATAGACTTTGATCAGCAAACGCACAAGCGCTCGCACACACAGACGTGTAACACCAGTAACATATTCATAGTCATGAACCGTCTCCTCCCGTAAACAAGCCAGCAGTCACACAGACGGGCATCTTGTAAATTAAACACTGATTCACTTCTGTAATGGTTACAGGTAAACAAGTGAAGAGCTGTGCAGACAGAACATAAGCACACAACTGGGGGGGATTGCATTAAAGATAATGGTGCATAATAAACGATGGATAGTAGCGTTCTCCTCTTACATAATAGATACGCTCTCAAATCTTACGTTTGATTATTCACGCTCAGAGCTGTTGCATCCGCCCACCTGTGCGTAGCGGAAATGTACGTAAACCCAATGTGGTAAATATTAAAAGGCATTTTTATTCAGAAGTCTTTCATGGATAAAAAGCTCTACAACAAACACACACAGTGGCATTTTTACACAACGTGATAAAATACTTCTGGTATTATCCTATGACAGAAAAACGGGGGGAAAAAGAGAATCTATACACACATTGCTCAGTATTCCGTCACAAGGACAAAAGGAAGGAAGGCCGGCGTTACAATCACTTGTTAGTCGACGCAATGCATTCACAGACAGAGATAAAAGCCTCTCGGGGACATTTTGCAATCAAAGGGTTTTCAGATCTGAATGTTCGTGCATACGTTTGCTGGCTAGAAGATCACGTATTTACTTTTTTTTGACATGAACCCGTAAGCCTACAGGCGGAAGTAAAGGTTCTCCTCTTCGACTGGCGCGTATGGTTGTGCATAAATGCACCGTCTGCAATGCCTTTGAATTGATAAAGCAAATGTCAATCCTGCAGATTGTTTCCTATGAAGCCAACCAAGGAAAGGGTTTGAGTTAAGCACCCTCAGAAATGTTTGGTTCTTTATTATTACATTACATTACATGTTATTTAGCTGACGCTTTTATCCACAGCGACTTAAAAGAAGTGCATTCGACCACAGATACAAACTCAGAAGAGCAAGAAACATGAAAGTGCGATTTCATCAAATAAGCCAATTTACAATTGGCTTCATGTCACCGATGGTGGCGGAAAACCGCTTTCTTCGTTCCGGCCACATTCATTTGAATTTTGCAGACGCACAACACTTAACAAGATCCGCGTTTGGGACGACGGATAGTCGTTGACCATTGAACTCGCCATTTTCCCTTTGAGCTCACTGTAGCCAGCTTCATGGACCATCACGTCCTTCTTCTCTCCGGCGCCACGCAGGTCAAACCTCTCCCGCCGTGTGGACGCACGCGGATTCCCCCCAAAGAAGACGCACTCGGCCTTCGATGGCTTGACCTCCATCGCACGACTTTCGTTCTTGAACACTGTGCTTGAGGAAACAGCGCCCTCTTCCTCCGGTCTGCTCGTGGACCGGGGCGGCCCGAGGTGCCATGCGGGCACCCCCAACCCCCCCGTCGGCCCCTCCGTCTCCCTGCCTGTCCCTACGTCCTCAGTCGGAGTCGTCGTCCTCTTCGTCAGTGCTCCGGCCCTCTTCCTCCGAGGAGCTCTCGCTTTTGGTGCTGGCGTCCGAGATCATGCCGTCCGAACTGTCGATCTCCATGGACGGCTCCGACAGGTACAGGTGGACGGACCTCGACGGGTGGCTGGGACACACACAGGGCGTGACGTGAATGCACGCGTGACACACGCATGACTTATGCATGTGTCACATGCGAGTCACACACGACGAGTACAGGACAAAGACGACACAAAGACAGCGGCAGGAACAAAAGGAGTCACTCGCCCCCGGAATCCAAGGCGAAGGTCGGATCAACGTCTCTGTTGATCCGTCCGCATCTGATTGGCTGACAAACATTTCTTTCCTTTTTTTTTTTTTTTTTCAGTGATTTCGGTTTGGAGTTGGAATGAATCATGAAGTTCTCAGCTGTCCCGTGAGGAGCTCGGCGGTTAAAGTGTGAACAGGGAAGCGAGTTCTAGTTTTGGTGGCAGTAACCGGTTATGGCGCATTTCACCTGGAGATCTGAAAACCCAAGGATTGAAACAAAGAAGTCCCACGTGCCCAGAACACAGAGATGTTTTTAGATAAAAACAGCTCATTGTTAAAAAATAAAGAGGAGCTACTTGTTAAAAAGATTTGTCACTTTGTCGAGGAAATTAACGATGGATTTCTTAATTAACCAAACGCTAGTTTTTTTTGTTTTTTTTTTACAAAAGTAGTGTATGAAAAATCAGTTTTCAACAAGTGCTCTCCATCAGGTTTAGACAGTGTGATAGCACCTTGATCCTCAACGTCAGTCGAAGGACACCACAGAATCTCAGAGAGACGAGCAACAAAACAGAAATGTACAAGGACGTCACAACAGAGAGCTGATGTGTAAGCATTGAAATGAGGGGTTTATAGATTCAAATCACACATTTAAATGTTGGTTTCATAGTGTCGAATCACACAAACATTCCAATAGGAGCTACGAAGCTGCCCAGTCACTTTCCACTATGTGGCTTGTGCAGCAATGCAGGGGTATGAAATGTTTCAAAACAGCAGCAACCTGCCTTTGCTTTACTAAGTTTTCGAGCTGAACTGATAACATAGTTGTTTCTATCCAGAAGAGAAAGGCACATGGTGATATCATAAAGAGCTAAACAACAGTATTCATGGCTTCCTACACGAAAGGCACTGTCTCGTTTTACATCAGCTGCCCATCGTCTGCGGTCCAGGTTTAGCAAGCGGGAAACAGGAAGTGAAACGTCCAGTAGGAAAAAGAGCCCCAGACCCAGAGAAGGAGCGCCGATCCCCACCAGATGGACAAAGGGGCGAGGGAGAGAGCGCGGGCGCGTCTCGGGTTCCTCTCTCTCGGCGCCGATCCTCCACCTCCTCCTGCCTCTCTCGCTCTCCGTCTCCGTCTTACCACGCGGTGGGGTCTTTCCTCTCTTTGCGGGGGGCCTCCTCGCTCCCCTCGCGCTGCCCGCGTGCCCTCATCTTGCACCGCCTGCAGGACAAGATGACGACGAGGAGGAGGACCACGGCGGCGATACCGCCCCCGACGGCCACCGCCAGGAGGAGAAGTTCGGAGAAGGACGCTGTGGGAGAGAAGGCCCGATTTGGACATTTTACTGATTGCTTTTGAAGCACGCCTGGGTCCGGCGCCCAGATGTAAAGCAGAAATGTGGACTGTGTTGTCAGTGGTTGCCGTGCTTTCGGTAGTCAAAGCACAGCCGCATCCCGTCGGTGATATGTAAATAAAGTAAATCATTCGGGATGCAAATGGATGTTCTCCTTTTTTTTTTCCGACATGGTTAAGCACGTTGACGAGACACACAAAGCAGTTGTCATGTGCGTTGTCATGTGTAGCTCGCAGTTGGACGCCTTCCCATGTAAGGGTTAGGGCGTAACTATGGTAACGTTGTGTTGATGCGTTGCGTTTGAGCTGCGCTGTGTCGTCAAAGACAGAAGTGCGTTGTCTTTACTCACAGTATCAGCATTTATTTATGTCCTTAAGAAAAGACAGAATTTGGGGATATAGAATCTCACCCCTTCGCTCCCTCACATTTGTGCCTATTTCTTTGCATTTTCACTTACGCTTTGAAGTATCTCAACATCTGCCGGATTAGGTTTGGACATTCTGGGAAGATGTCTTCCAAATAACTGAGGGCCGTGGGTTTGAATAAAGTGGCGGTTTACGGCGACCGCGGACAACCTTAATACAGCCAGACATCCGCGTGGCATCGTTACGTAAGAAGGCAGAACGTATGAAAAGATCTGGTCAATATTTCTAATTGAGTCTCACAGAAAGGCACTCAGGGGAGTAAAATATATAATCAATACTCTAAATAACTAATTCGATTTTTAATGCACCAACTTCTTTTTAATTGGAAAATAAGATTTTATTTTATTTTATTTTATTTTTTTATTTTATTTATTTATTTATTTTTTAATTATTATTATTATTTTTTATTTTTTTATTTGTTCAATTATTCAAACATTTGCAAGATTTTGAAATGATGTTTTTAGAGACAGAATGAGTCACGCGTCCGACCTGTGGTGACGACGCGCAGTCGAATCTCTCCCACCGTGCCGTGGACATCCGGCGGATTCTTCACCTGGCAGATGTACGTGCCGTTGTAGGTGAACTTGACCTGCTCAATGATGATGGAGGCGTCGCATCCCATGACGTCGCCGGCCCACTTCACGCGCTTCCGGAATATTCCGTCCGGCGGAGGATACGGCCGCTGCTGGTAGTGGAACACCTGAGAGCCGGAAATCCACAGGGCGGAAATATCAAACGCAAAACTGGTTCTGGAGAAGGAAGGTATTTTTAAAACGGAAAAAAAGGACCATGATTTGGACCCGCCCTGCTGTGCGCGCACACACACACACACACACACACACACACGCACACACACACGCACGCGGTGGCCTCAGATGCTCCACAGGGAGAGCTGGATGACTCACCGACTCCTGACTCACTTGGCTGAGTGGGTGGATGCTCCGTGACACAATGATGGTGGTTGGCAAACACACACACACACACACACTCACCGACTCTTCTCTGCCCGGCTTGAGGGGTCTGAAGCTCCAGGAGATGACGATGGCATTGGCGTTGATGGGCGACGAGCTCTGGAAGGTGCACTTCAGGCGGACGTCCGTCCCGTTGACGGCCTCCACGTCCCCGGACGTGTAGATACGCATCCCGCTGACCCGCAGCACGCCTGCCCGGGTACAAACACACGGCTGCGTGTGACTTCGCTAATAAATAAATAAAAGATACGTGGTTTCTGAAAGAACCACAAGACAGAAGCGGCACGACTTCCGTTGCGTATTCAGCTTTAAGCGAGTGTAGAATGTACCCGGTGACCCCGCCTCTGCCTACGCAGCGCCACTAGATGCTCCATCCCACGCACTGTAAACTTATTTCAAACATCCGATTCAGCACACCCACGAAAGTCCAAACTGATGTCGGAATCAGCAGACCAAATGAGAGACATTCCGTGAAAAATTGCCCCTCTCTGGCTGCAGAGGAGGCTGGAATTGATTGTCTGGTGAAGATGATATGGAGGCGGACTGTATCAATCTTTACAGTAGGCTGCGCGGTAGACCGATTAGAGGGAAGATGAATGGACTGGAAGAGCAGAGAGGGATATTGGCAACAATTTGGCTCTTCCACATAATGATGGATAGAGCTCCCCAAGAATAGGGTTAGCACTCACACACACACACACACACACACACGCACGCACGCGCAGTCATTTTATCAGACGGATACAGACTTATTGCTGAGTTTCTGTCATGAAATGTGTCAACGATACACATGACGAGTCAATGAAGTGTCCCGGTGGCGGACTGATGCTGTCTGAGGGTCATGAAACGTAATCAAAAAAGGGCGGCTTACGTGGTTCGAAGTCACACATTAGAGCACAGCTTCCATAGGTTTCATCCACGGAATTAGAAGGCACTTCATCATTCGTCATCGGCATCCAAGAACAAATTTCATCGTGTTTTTCCCGATTGGAGAGCATGATGATGAATCCACGGAGCATCCAACTTCACCATGTCCTCCGTTCTGGACGGTGGCCGCCTAAAGGGAACTTTATCATGCTTCTCCTACTTGAAGGGGGAGCTTAGAGGGCACTTCATCCTGTTTTCTCCACTGGAAGGGCTCGTTCTTCTGTTCGAGCTACTGGAAGCGCAGCGTAAATGGCACTTTATCATGTTTTCCCTTCTGGAGAGGCACCTTGGAGGGCTCTCATTGTTCTCATACTAAAAGGGAAGCCCAGGGCACTGTGTCATTAGATGTCAGATTGTAGATGTGAAATTCTTGGATCGTATTGATGCAATGGGCTAATTTCAGGGTTATACTGTAGTCTGATGTAAATGAATGAGCTCTAACCTCCAGCTGTCGATTATTTTAAAAGCGCTTCAGCCGTTTCACCACAATATAAATACGTATTTGACATTTTAAACCGGATAAGAAATGGATTAAGCTTTATTCCGTCATTTAAAACGTGGGTTTTAAAGCATCATGAAGCAGCTTTGCCCTGTTTTGACTGCAGGCATCTGACTTCAAATGTAGGAAAAGTCCAAGGAGGGCCGATTGTACTGTATTGTATTGTTACCGCTGCACTTTAATCACAGGCAGGAGGTGGGTTGGAGGGGGGGGGGGTCTGTGTTCTGTTCCTTATCAGGCTGGAGGGAGTTTCCTGTGGGCTGTGGATGAGAGACGGCCGCCGCGCCGCATTAAAAATAGGCTGACTTCTCTCTCTTGTCGCCGGCCCCTGATGAAACCCGGGAGGAGACCGACTACTCTCCGTCTGCTCCTCTTTTTTAGACATAAAATAATGTTTTTACAGCCTGGAAACACACAGGTATTGTTCTTCTGCATCAGAAAATAACGCATTTGATATTACAGAATAATATTTTCATGGATGGACTCCTCGGGGAACGAGCCTCCTCTGTAACCTTTATCTCATTTATGGAAAGCCCCGATGTTAGGGAATTAAACTGCCTGTGCTTAGGATATTCATTAGGAAGATAACATCCGTGCACAGACAGCAATAACTCTCTGCCCACGCGTGTATTGACTGAGAGTTTCTGAGACGTCCTTATATTCTCATCGCCTTATTTCAGCGACTAAAGTGCACGCAAGATATGAGCTACGTAGTGGAATGCTCTACCAAATTTGAAAGCTGATGTGGAAATAATCCGTCATGCTTCATACATCAGCAAAGAAAGAAGGTTCTTCAGGCCATAACACCTCATTTCCAATTTCCTTCCCTTAACCAATCTTTTTATGAATTCAAATACGCGTTGCTAATCTCCTTTCAGCAAGAAAAAAAAAAAGCACAAAAAGCCCTTAACTGAGCTGATTTAGAAGAATTATGGTTAATCAGGCCTTTTTGAAGCCATAATGGTTATTAGCAGAATGACAGTTGGGGCTGTGTACAGTGCCTCAATTACATCACTAATTTCCCCCCGCGGCTAAAAGTACATGATCACTATTTAATTTGTCATCTGCAGGCACTGATTGCTCGCTGAACAGGATGCACGCCATCGACTGAAGTGCACGATCTGACTCATTTACGGAAAGAGACGACGGAGATAAACACGCCCCGCAACGAGAGGCTGAGCCTAAGTGATGAAAGAGCAAGAGCAGCGTGACTGAGCTGACGAGGGAGTGAGCGCGGATGGACGGATGGAGCAGCCAAACCACAGAGAATGTGTGAATCTACATAATTGAAGCGGCAATGGACAGATAAGGAGGTAGCGTTTGTTGGCCCTGGTTCGTCCGTCCACTTTTCTGTTTGTGCGTGAAGAACCTGAGCGGCGCTGCGGCGCTGACCACACCCGGCGTCCAGAGGCACAAGAGCGAGAGAGGGAGAGGGAGCGTTCACGGCTTATTGAGATGGAGCTATGCACCCGACACGGGAGGGAGGGCCACAGTGCAGACAAATGCATTTTCATTTTATTGCTGAGGTCTGTCGAGTCGGCACAAAAGGTGCCGCTGAGTCAGAGCAAGAAGGAAAATTGAAGGAAATTCAGGTAATATGAACGGTTAAAAAAAAGACCCGAGAGCCGTCTGACTGTCTCTACTTCATATTCTCCTCATTAAAGTCATCAAATGCTTTGATAACTCAGATCGACTACACTGCACCATCAATTAAAAAGACTAAATTAATCCGACGTCTGTTGACACTTTCCTACTTAAAGACTTTTACACAAGAACCTCTAAAATGTGCGTGTGTGTGTGTGTGTGTGCAGGAACAGTGTAGCACCAGAAACAATAGTTGTAAAACGTTATGTTCTATTGTTAAGTCTGCGTGCGTGTGCCTGGTTTGGCGTCTCTCGGGGGGACTCACTCCACCCACACACACATCCTCTATTAGACGTAAGCGTTGGCGATAGCACATCGTATCTGTCAATATGTCCAATATTCCACAATCAAGCGAACTTGCTGAACTTTTATGCACTCGATTCCACCCGTCGACGCCGCGCTGCTCGGCCCAATGGTCCTCTGGCCCGTCTGCGGAGGGCAAGCGCTTTCATCCACTGTAAAACCATCAAACCGAGCCCACTCAAGCGAGATTAGGTGTGTTTGGCTTGGCACTCATCCCGAGATTGTACGGGAGCTTTCCGAAGAGGCACAAAAGGTATCAAGCGGTATTTGACCTTCCGGTATAACATTTCACCCGATGTCGAGGCGAGCAGGTTTGAAGCCGCGTGGACATCTGCTGCTTCTCACTGTATCTCAGTCTCGCGTGTAGTAGCTGCTTTGGATGCACGGAGAAAGCGCATGGCAGCAGACATGTTGGAGTAAACACGGTCGCGCGGCGCTGTGCTAATGTTACTGTAAGCCCCTCGGACGAAGGTAATCTTCGGTAATGGGTTTGGCTCTGGTTGTGAGGAGGAAGTTCCAGGAGCGACTCGTTCCTCCTCCTCTGAGTCTGGGTGTGTTTTCACACTGCAGAGAGGCATGCTCGGTATATTGGACTCTTGTCTTGGCACTCAGCAAACAGTCTCTGGCAATATTCCGTCTTTGAACGTCCTAAAAACAATCCACAGGATGCACGAACCAAGTTTGCCTTAATGCGAAATCCAAACCTTTGCAACAAGGTTCTCAATGCAGTTTGCTCATAAATATGCAGATTTTTAAACAGCAAATGCGATCCCCTGACCGGACGTCATTGTGATGTGCATTGTTGTTTGAGACGTGTTTACTTCATGTACAGTGGGAGGAAACAGCAGGAGAAATCAGGCGGCTTGCTCTCTGACTCAGGAAATGGGTTTCATTACCTAACGTCCCAGACCGTATGTGTCCGGGAATCTACTCTCCTCATCATGGCTCAGAAACAAAGGGACCAGCGCAGGAAACCCGATTCTCCGTCGCACAAAGTTCTGTAGGAAACACTTAGGACAGGAACAAACACACAGGGAGCTCGGCGGCTTACAAAGGACCTCTTCTCTCCTTTGTGGGAGGTTTCACAAGCCCGGGTTAGTTTGCGTCTCTTCATTAACAAGGCTTGTCTTTCATGCGGGGCCGGACTCCGAGCTGGGAATGGCAGGTTCAGATAACCGTGTTCTCCCAGAGGAGGAGGAGGACACAGAGGCGAGTGTCCAGTGTTGTAATGGGGGGGAACCTCTGAGATGGACACAACTTTGTGTAACATACCAGGTATTATTTGTGGGTGCAAGATACACGGTGTTCACTCCCCCCCTCGGCGCTCTATTGGCCGGCCGCCTTTCGGGGTCAACAGCTGATAACTGCATCGCGAGCCCCCCCCTTCAACATATGAGTTCGAAGCTGCGATCGTGCCTTCGCACATTTGTCCACAAGCGGAGCCGGTGCCTCGCCGGTTTCCCGCAGAGCTCAGGATGGCGGCAGGAGATAAGGGGCTTCCTGCTGGGGAGAGCTGCTGTGGTCTTTGAGGCCCAGCCCGGCGATCGTTGGCCGCCAACCGGTGTGGAGTCGGCGACGTGTTGGTGGGAAAGACAGTTTCATAAAGAAACGATCCAGACGGCCGGCCAGGCCTCACCGCCCAACATCAGTGGGTTAAAGCAGCAGGAGATTTATGGAAACACGTTTTTCGATGTAATACTCCGCGGTGACTCCCTGCTCATTATACTGCCAAGCTTATCACTGCACCGGCTGTTTGGAACAGCAAATCTAAAAGCTGTCCTTAAACTGGCCGATTGCAAGATTTTGCAATTCTCTGTCTGCTTTTCACCCCAGATGTACAGTGTGCACCGGCACATACTTTAGAACACGTGTTTAAAAATGTGTTCAAAAAGCCTCACACCAAACAAAGACCGAGCATCGATCTCCTCCAAGCTTCCCGCAGGCCGGTTGAGATGAATCAGGCGGCAGCGAGAGGAAGCGTGGAGTGGGAGAGTGAGAATAAGGGTTTAATCCATCAAACCTCTTCCACTCCCGCCTTCGCAGCTGACTCGACAACTCGACAACTCCCCGGGGGATACAAACTCCTGAGGGATCGCAAGATTTCACATATTCACCACAAAGCCAGTCAGACTGGATCCAGTCCTTGAGCACACTGTGCAGGAGGTACCGGTTACAAGCGCTCGCCTCCAACGGCCACGTGTCCTACAGTCATTACGGCGCCTGAAGCCGCTGAGGGGTTATCTTCTGTTTCTCGTAGTAGCTCAAGTACGGAGCCAAATCCAGGCCAAACTCTGTGATCATTGATGAAAAAGGGACCCCTGTGAGCGCAGCGGAGCATCCGTGCGATGGCGTCTGCTCCACCCGACCACCAGAATACGGTGTGTAGCAATGTATGAACCACCAAGTATAAGAACTATCCAATAGAAACACCTAAACGCAGTTTGAAGCTTGCTTTTTGAATTTGGACGCGTCCAGTGGACCTCAAGTCATCCCACAGCTTGACGTCTCCAGCCGACTGGACCTCCAGTCCCAGAGGCCCGATTGGCCATTTGTCGCCCATCTTTATGGTCTTCTATTGGCATTGACAATTAGAACAGCTAAACGAACTTAAACTCTCTGGGTATTTTCCATCATTGGGCCAACCAGTTGTACCAGATGCGTCTGAGTTCGCCTGTGTGTACAGATGTAAATATGTGTGTGAGCCGGCTTTTCTACATTGTTGTTGCAGTTAAGTTCGGGAGTCCTGCTCACACGGTGGACTGATGTTTTAAAGATGTGGTTTCACTAGACAGGGAGGATCTAATGGAAGGTGCTTTGGTTGCACTCTGGATTAAACTCTGGATTATTGACCTCTGCTCCATCCATTAGGATTTAAGGTTTGGAACGTGTGTTTCCTGTTTGCCCTCAGATCTCCTGGCAGCACTTTATTTCCCAATCAGACCGAGATAAGAAAACATCCCACTTGTAGTAAAACACACCTTTGTGTATCATCATGAAAATGGTCCAGAGCGGCCCTGACCTCACATCCGGACCAGAGAAGCGCTGCTGGGTCCCATAAATATAAATGTGACGATGGAGGGAGCGTTGAAGTGTCCTAACCCCGCCCCCTAACGCCCGCTACTTACACTCATTCATTTAAATTGCCAAGTGGAGTCCTTCATTAGTAAGCGAAACCGGACCTAGGCGGGGTTTTACACGACAATGACCGCATGCTCATGGAATGGATCCAAGAGTCGTGCTGAACTCAACAAGGAAAAGGAAATAAAGCCAGAGTTCTTTCATCGTGGCTGCTCTACATTTAACTATCTGACGGGGAATCAAAGTCATCGAGAAGAGCTGCCGGAAGCTGGAAGATCCACTTGTTTACCGCAAGTCCAAACCAACTTGTGTGTAAGAATGTGCACAAACACAAACCCATGCTCACAAATATGCAGCATTTGTTTGTTTGCATAGACTCAAACCTCGGAGGACTCTCTGAACATGTTTCAGCTCAGTGAGAAGTGTATTTCAGATCCCTGTTTACACCCGGGGGGGGGGGGGGGGGGGGGGGGGCCTTGGGGTTTAAACCCACCGGGGCCCGGTTCAAACCCCCCCCCCCCAAAAATTTGGGGCCCCCCGGCCCAAAAAAAAAAAAACCCCCCCCCCCGGGGGGGGGGGGGAAAAAAAAAAAGGGGGTTCCCACCCCCCCGGCCCCCTTTTTTTGGGAAAAAGAAAGTTTAAAAAGGGGGGGAAACCCCCGGGGGGGACTGGTGTTTTTTTTAAACCTGTATGTCAGGACAGGTTGGCGCAGGTCTGACATGTGCTGAACATGTGAGAGGCAGACTGAAGACAAAAGACAGGATCGAAAACATGTTAGCAGCGTTTGCTTTTATCCCCCTCTAATCTAGTCCAATCTTTTCTAATCAGCCAGCCAGAAGTTGATTAGTTCGCCTGCTGTCAAATTAGATGGTGGAAGGTTTGAAACAGAGAAGAATAACGTGTGTGTGTGTGTGTGTGTGTGTGTTGTGTGTGATTTGGTCAGGGGAGTCCGGCTATTGAAGCCTTCTGCTTACAGTTCACAGAGGTTCTGTACACACGGTACACGCCGACGTGGGGAACCATCGCGGTTAAAGTCTAAATCTGGCAACGCTCGCCTCTGCTCTGGAAGGTCATTCCAATTGCTGCGAAAAAAAAGCAAAAGCGTCGCTCCCGAGGGTGTCTGGACACAAATTAGGATTTGTAATATCTTCTTATATAATACGTAATACACAAACTACACAAAAGGAGTAGTGTGTGGACTTGAACCAGCGCACTGTGGTTGTGTTTAGAGAGGTCCGTGTCCTTCAGAGAGGCCGCCAGTGACGGGCAGATGGGTAAATATGTGGTGATGTTTTATTGTCCTATCTTTCTCACCTGGAGGGGGTGATGGGGGGGGAGGAGGGGGTCCACACACACACACATCCAGCCTGTTGCTATGCAATGGCTGATCTCCGGGCACATGCACCTTTGTAAACACAAACAGCGTGCTGCTATATCGAATCCCCTCGTGGTCCTTTGGCAGAGGATGGACACGCTCAATCAATATAATCCACTTAGACGGGATGCACACAGATTACTTGAAGGTTAAGCAGCCGGCGTCTGTTAAATAAACTGCCCCTGAGCGCCAATGTGTGATATTAAAACACGTGCCATTAGCATGTCGATGTGAGCAGCCATGCTGTCGGACATCTCCCGTTTGTTCGCATCAGGTAAGTAGTTGGATGATTGATGGGCCACGCAGTCCCTGGGAAAGCGGGATGCACTTTAATGGGCAGGAAAGGAGCGGGTCTGCGTATGGAACCCAAACACAATGCTGCCGGGGTTCGACCCTAATAATAAAAAATAAAAAAAGGCCCGTGGTCAAGTCATTATGTTTACAGCGCGCGCGGGTGTTCTCCAGCGCCATTGTGCCAAGTTATCCACTTCCCAATGACGCACGATGGGCGCGTGGAAACGGAGGTCGGGGGTCCCTGCAGAGCTTTCACTGTCAAGGTTTCCCCCTCTTTACTTGGAAACGCGAATGTCGGGAGCGTCTTTGAACGCCCCCCCGCCCCCTCTCAAGTCCACAGGACAAAAACACATCCGACTGGGAACTTTTGTGCAACCAGGACGCACGCAGATGCGGGTATAATTAGCACAGTTCTGAAGAATGCATGCACGTGTGGACCGACGTATCCCCGCGGGATCACGGAACGCCAAACGGGTTATTGGTTGACTTTCAAAAAACCGTCAAGTGAAACATTTAAAGCATTTCGGTGGAATTACACTTTAAAAAAAAAAAGAGCAAACACCTGACGTACACACACAAAACAAGCACATTCCTCCTCTAGAGTCTCACCTGACGCTGCGAGTCCAGACAGGACGGTGAAGAAAAAGAGCCCCTTTACGCACATTGGATGCACGCAGGCTGTCCGAGGAACAAGAGACCGGCCGACACTCTCCCTTCCACCCACGAGGACTAGACGCCCGGCTCCGAACTCTGAGGGTCCCCTTGTTGGGAGAGGGGTACCAGCATGAAGTTACGGGGATTCCTGTGTTTAACCGTATCTCTCCAAAGATCCTTCCTCTTACGCTTCAAGCCCTCCCACCAAAGTCATCCAGTCTCCTCTCTGCCCTCTTATCTCTCTCTCTCTCTCTCTCTCTCTCTCTCTCTCTCTCTCTCTCTCTCTCTCTCTCTCTCTCTCTCTCTCTCTCTCTCTCTCTTTCACACGCGCGCGCGCGCGTTCACTCAACGTGTTCTGTTTATGTGTAAAACACATGCGAGGTTCAATGGCCAAAACCTGTTACGCAAACACATCTGCGCTCGATACGTATGAAAATAGAATTCACAATCCAAAGTAGGATGTTCTGTTTTGGGATCTGGTGTCTTTTAAAAAAATACAAACCCTTCAAATATAAAGCGCCGCGGCTTTTAAGGCCTTTTTTACAAGATGGTGTATTGATGGTTATGCCCTGGGTTTGACATGTTAAGCAGATCAAATTTAATTCAGTAAAATGTTTGGATTATATCCGTAAAATGAATTCAAAAAGTCAAAGAAAATAAGCGTGTCGGAGATACAACGTGGTACAAACAGGAAGGTAAAAACCTGGACGCCGGTTGAGCCACTTGGGGGCAGAGCAGCACCTCCAGATTCCACGTGAGGCTTTTGAGAAGATCACAGAGGCTGCTGCTCACTTCTCAACATGCTGACGTGTTTTCATTTCACGTTTAAGGTCAGATATTACAGCAACGAGATGGTCAGAAGTGCCTTTTCTGTAACGTGACCATCCCAAAGGAGCAAGCTATGAGCCAACATTAGTTATTTGGTCTGCTTAAAACCATTTGTACAACAACACATCAAATTATCATGAGTTGTATATTATGTGGAGAAAAGCACTTGAAAGTCACACAAACGCAGTTTTACTTTAACAGCTTGACATCATTTTGAGGTTCAACAGTGAATTCATCTTGAAACAAAACTGAAACACTTCCGGTAGAGAGAGAGAGAGAGAGAGAGAGAGAGAGAGAGAGAGACAGAGAGAGAGAGAGAGAGAGAGAGACAGAGAGAGAGATACCAAGTCTTCGTCTTTGCATTTGTGTGTCTTATTGAACAGGCGTCTCAAACTGTTTTCTGTCTGCTGGACGCGTTTATGCATCCGATCGTCAGAGAAGGAAGCTGTAGAACCTCAGAAGAGGAAGAGGAAGAGGAAGAAGAAGAAGAAGAAGAAGAGGAAGAAGAAGAAGCACAGGTGGTCTTCAGGAAGTGAACAGCATGGGTGCTCAGGCCACGTTCGCCGTCCTCTTTCTGCTCACAGCTATGGCCAACGCTAAGATCAAACGTACGACCAACGATGGGATCACACCTACGGGCAACACTTATCCTCTTCCAGGTGAATATCAGTTATTTGTTTGGTCGATTAGCAGTTTTCAGCATATTTTAAAACAACTGACGAAATAAGAATGTAAATATGACTTTCAAGAGCAACTTCTCCAACGTAGCCGTGTCTTCTTCTGCATGTTCTATGTTCTGTGCACATTTGCTATGATCTTGCTACTTAAATATTCTGATAACTAGTTGTTCTTTCGTGCTGTATTGTAGACTCTAATTTAAGACAACTTAATCCAAGTTTATTGAAGACGTGTGAGGTGCGATGTTAAGAAACGACGAGCCTCATCTCTCTGCTCAATATATAAACTTTTTTAATATTTTAAATATTTAATTTTAACTTTATTCCCTTGTTTTATACTAACCCATAGCCTTATTCTTTTTTTTTTTACTAACCCATTGCATTAGCATTTCATTTTACTTCATTTTATTACTTGTGCACTGCTGTCCTGTTGTCTATTGTCACACTGTCTGTCTCGCACCAACCGCCAAGACAAATTCCTTGTATGTTTGACATATTTTGGCAATAAATGTTTACTGATTCCTGATCATCCTGCTGTCCAAAGTAATGCTGAAGGAGACCTTAATGGAAAGAGCACACACTGAATGTGTGTCCCTCTGTTTTCAGGAGAGGTAGAATTCTGGAAGGAAAAATTCACAATGCGTTGTCCTGAAAACGGGACTTGGTTCAAGAAACATGCCGATATAAATCATACAAGCGCAACGTATACTCAAACGTATAGTGGCAAAACCAAAGGCTTATACCACTGCAAATACGAGCCAAAAGGCAAAGAAGAGAAATATCATTTCTTCTACGTAAAAGGAAAAGGTGAGTACAAATGCAAGAATGATCGTTGACGTTGGTCGTCCTCGCTGAGCTTCTACCCGCTTCGACTTCTGGTCTTCATCTTCCAGGGTGCGCTGACTGCTTTGAGGTGGCCCCGGGAATTCTCGCGGCGGCCATTGTTGTGGACGTGGTGGGGACGGCGTGCGTGATGCTGATGGTCTTCAGGTGCACCAAGAAGAAAAGCTCGGCCGCCTCCAAAGGTGCGGACAGAACGCAGACACGCGTGTGCTGCTGCCAAACGTGCAGCTCTCGCAATCACATTTCAATCAGCGTGGAAAGTACTTTTACACACGTACCATGAGAGTATTAAGCTCTGATAAAATCATAATACAAATATGATGTATAGTAAAAGATCAACCTAACCAGAATATAAAGTATTTAAAAGCACTTCAACATTCTTTGGCTGCGTAATTAAAGCTGCAACATATGAATAGATTGCTGATTTTATTTATTAACATTATTATCATTATTCTAAAATGGTTCATTCTGCACAATGATTTGCTTTTGCTTTACGTGTGTATTGCAAGCAGAGTTTTACATGTACTTTCACACAGCGGTATTACTACATTTACCGAGGTAAAAATTGAGAAAAGTGTGAAACCTTCTCAGCGTGAGTTCCTTTAACTACCACAAGCGGAAATATCACGCATATTTCTGCCATTATCTTCTAGCACCAGCTCGCCCGGGAGGCCGGCCTCCACCTGCCCCGTCTCCTCACTACGAGGTAAGCCCTCCATTCTCACAGGCCTTCGCCTTTTGCTTGTAGAACGTTCTCACGTTTCTTAAGAAGCACATTCCCCAAAACCGTCAAACGGTTCCGGTACCTAAAATAAAACAATTTCTGAGTGAATGTGAAATGCATTAGTCTGTTTTAAGGTAATGATTGTGATTGATTTCTTCTTGTCAGCCCCTGAACCTCCACACTCGCTCCGAGGGTCCTTACTCCACCGTGAGCAGGACGGGATAGAGCCGAGTCAGCTGTTCTCCAGGGACCAACACCACCCTTCATGCTCCCGGCAGGCTAACTCCACCTTTTCCCCGCTCACGCATTTTCTCACTTACCCCTGGTATCAGGAATGTTTCTATCCCCGTGTGTTACCGTGGTTACAGAGATGGGTGGCATGTAACCTGTAGTGCTCACAGTATTTTACAGTTACTTGTAAAAAAGTTTTTGAGATGCATTGATGGTGCAGGATTCAAATGTTCAGGGTTTCATTTATAATTACGAATGAAAAACAGGTGAAAACAAAGAAAAGACGCCACGTGCATCAACAATGCAGCTTTCTTTGCAACAGTATCATCAAGCTGTCAACGTCCCATGAGCTCGTCTGACGGGAACATGACGCTGCTTATAATATTTCAAAAGTGG